AAAAGCCACCCACGATTGCTGGAGTCTGGCCCCCAATGTGTCACGTTCAAATTTCCCATAACCGATACGGACCCCAAGGTATTTATGCGATCGGCGTAGCGGGATCCGAAGCATACGGTCTTCCTGGGGCAGGCAAAGGAAGCGACCTTCAGCCGTGCGTGTAGTGAACTGTTTGAGCAAGGCCGGAACTTCAGCACCCTTCATTGCCAACAAGACTACCGTCTTATCCGTAGCAATGGTCATGCCCATGTCGGCCATGACTTCAAAGATTTGAACTAGATTACGCCCAGCATTGTGAAAATCTCTGGGGTGTTGAAGCATCCAACACATGTGAAAATCATCGGCAAAGCATGTAATCGCATCACGTGGCATGAAGCGCATGAGCTCGTCATAGATGAGCAACGTGTAAGCCAGCCACAGTAATGGTGACAATCCACATCCCTGTCTGATGCCACAATGCATGTCTAAGCTGGTTTCGATGCCATGCCTCGAGATCACTATTTGTGCATTGTCATGTATATACATGATCGCCGAAACCAAATCCTCAGTGGCTCCTATCCTACACAATGCTGCCCGAAGCTTTGCACGCGGTAGGCGATCATACGCCTTCGAAAGGTCGAGTGAGACCTGCAGGCCTCCACAAAAGGCCGTGCCTCGGCTGCCTTCTCTCTTCAAGAAGAGCGTGTTGCGAGACTGCTCCAGACGCGAGCGGACCTGCTGACAGTGCGATATCGCACGATCGATTGAGTCCAGGGTTTGTCTTGAACATAAATAAGCAAACTGAGGGACCTCAGCTAGAGCAGCCTGGACAAAGGGCCGTAGGCGTCCAGCAAGGATGCGGGCCATCATCTTCGGCATGGCCGGGAGAAGGCAAATCGGGCGGAGGTTCTGAGGCGTGGAGGGCGCCTTGCCCTCTTTCGGGACTAGCGTCATGTGTGATTTGTGCCAATCCTCAGGGAACTGTAGGACCCCTACCGCAAGAGCCTTATTGAACTGAGCAGTGACCAATGGCGCCAAGATTGGGATCATGCACTTCCAGAGCGGGGCCGGGGCGTGGCCAGGCGGCAAGGATTTCAGGCTAGGTAGGGAGTTCAACGCTTCAGTCACCTCCGCAATGCTGAAATGGATGCCCTCAGTGAGCGCCCATGGGGGAGTCTCCGGCTTGAGGCGCGTCTGGTACAGCGACCGGAAATACTGACCTAGCGTATCCACCTCTTCCTGTACACTCAGCAGATGCCCATCCCCACCTCTGAAATGAATGGAACGCCTAGAGGATTTTGGCCGAAAGCGTTCTATGAGCCGATACAAACTAGTGAGTCCCTGTTTTGCAGCATGCTGTGCTTCCAGGATCAAAGACTCTATGTGCTCAAGCTTACGCTGTCGAGTTAGCCGACGAATTGTCCGGTCCTGCTGCACAAAACGGACTGCAGCCCTCCAGGCCACAAGCCACGTTTGCAGGCGGAGACTAGCCCTCGGGAAATGACGGCGCACTGCACTGGCTGGAGCGTCGGCAAACAGCTGTATGACCGGACCACTATACCCATCTAGAGCGGCAAGGGCACGTCGCAAAGTGAGCTTGGCTTCCCAAAAAGTTCTGAGACATACCCCTTCGCCCGCTCCGCCCGTTTTCGAGTGCGGACTGCTGTTCAGCGTTCCTGGGTCTACCGGCGTCTTGGGAGCGGGTGTTAAGCTACAAGCCGTCCATGCCTGCAGCAAACAACTATTAAGGTCACTTTGGGGGCGCAGCAGGGGCCGGGCGTGTTGAACAAAGGTTTTGCACAACGTCGGATGTGTGTCTAGGCATGCCTTTGCTTGGCGCGCAGTAGTCGGCAAGGCTGGGGCTTTGCGTTTAGACCTTGGTCGGTCACACCCAGGCAACCATCCTAGAACCGGAACATGCCGGAACCCTGTGGGATGCACAACAGAGGCTTTCAAGGCAGCCCTAGCCGTGAGGGCCAGTGGTTGGCAAGGCAGTCTGACAATGATGTAATCAAGCTGAGCGCTCGCCACCTGCTCCTTGTAAAATGTGCTAGCGCGACATCCAGCCTTGCCCCAACTGTTCATTGCCACAAGCCCATGTAAACAGACCAGTTGTTGGAACTCATCCTGGTCCCTGTGTGGCCCAGTGCCCGCAGCGGCAATGCCCAATCCGACATGAGGTGTTTGTGGGGTCAACGAGCAGTTGAAGTCGCCTAACATCAAGAGCTGGTTTCTACGGGGAATGGATGAAACCCATTGGGCCATGCGCTGCCAGAGCACCCTGCGTTCGGCTAACAGAGCCTGACATCTGCTGTGTGTGGAGCCCTTGAGGGTCTGCCGACTAGGGTTCCATGCTACCTGATAAATTCCTAGCAAGTCCATATTACAAGATCCCTCAATTCGGGCATGTAACAGTCTGCCCGGCACAAGTTCACAATGTCTGATGGATTGCCTGTCGAAGGAATCTGTATGAAACATGAACAATACACCCCCTTCGGCACTACCCATACCCGAATGTACACAAATCCATGGGTCTGAGACAAACTCGCTACTATTGGCCCATTTGGTTTCCTGAATACAAGCTACCCTGGGCAGGCCCTTGGGGTGTTCCGCTGAGCTTGCAAGCCAGGCTTTGAGCTCTTGGAACCGAGCAGAGTGCAAGCCACCGCAGTTCCACGTGACTACGGGTAGGTTGGGCTTAGGTGATGCAGAAGCTGTCGGATGGGTAGAGGGCTGTGTGGACGGCTTAGGGTCTAGGCGGGAAGCCGAGAGGCTAGTGAGGGTATGGGTCCTACCGCGGTACGTTGTGGTCCCATGTTTCAAGGCTCGGGCCTGCGCTCGTTTAAAAGCCCGTTTCCTGGCATGCGAAAACGACGCGGCCGCATGACCATGCGCCCGAAAGACAGTGCACCCATCCAAACAGGAGCTTGTGGGTTCCGGTCGGGGACTGGGGGTGTGAGTCGGGTGATGCGTCGGGTGAGCCGAGGTACCTAGACCCCAAAGAACGAGGAGGAGGAGCCTAAATCCCCTACCTAGTGCGGGTCGGGAAGGTATGGCAGGCTTTCTCGCAGGCACAGGTGAAGGTGCACTGTCCTGGGGCCGGCTGAGACCTCTGCTACGGCAGAAGTTTGCAGTGCTCACTCGGCGACGGCGAAACTGACCTGGTAACAGGCGACACACGGCCCAAAACCAGGTTCTGCGTACGCGCCGGTAACCTCTAACAAGCCAAAGTAAGCCCCATAAGAGCGCGTGTCGGAGCAAGAGCGCACGAGCTGAAGCACACCCAGGAACCTGGCCCTGCGAGTCAGCAAAGGCGGGCGGCAGCCCCAAAGCAGCAGGAGAGTCTGTCAGGGAGAGCCACGCATGCTTATGTATGCGTGCGTGATATGTGTGCAGACAAGGTACATATGGATTGCAAAAGAACAAAGTACTCCTAAGGCTGGATAACAAGTGTGTCGACGGTGTGCTGTCAAGGCCTGTCCATACTGGAGAGGGCTTGGAGACTCCAAAAAGGTCGCAATGCTTCGCCTCAAACCGTAACGAACAGGAGGCGGTCAGTGTGGCTTCAGAGGGGGTGCAACCAAACCTTCCCTCAACCCTCGTGTCTACAACCGGGGCATGTTGCCAATGCAAGCCAAGGATCATGAGAGCAGAACACTGCAAGACAGAAGTCAGATACGGGCATGTTCTGTGCCCACGGTTGTCGCCGGACTTGGGACCGGCGCGGCCCGTCATCCTTAAAAGTCCCCTCCGTTCCGGATCTCTAGCGTCCTCGCGGTGGCCTGGGGTCGGCAGACCCTCTCGCAGCTTCGGGCGAGTCGTCAACGGACTCTGGCTCGCCCCCGTCGTCCTCCAGCTCCATCGGAAGCGTTTCAGAAGGGTCACTAGCATCTGGTGGCATCCTGTGGTACCATCGTTGAAAGGAGTGCCTGTCGTGGTCCGACAGCAAACGCCAGGTGAGCCAGATGCATTCCACGTACCATCCATGGGAAGCAGAGGTGACCGCCTGTTGCACAAACCGAGTTGGGTCCGGAGTGTGGAGCTGCTTGGCCAAGCCTTGGGCAAGTAGCAGTTGTAGCCTTTGTTGGACTTGCTGCCTCGTGGGGTCGCCAATGTTACCCACCTTGTCCGAAAACATCCAGGTGTAGTCATTGTCCGGTATAGGTGTACCCAGCATGTCCAGTATCTTGCCGGCATCCGTCTGCAGGCCTTGCACGGCCGCACCTTGAAAGTGCGGTCTGGTAATGGCCAAGATCTCCAGAGGGGCCATTGACTGCGACTTTCGACGAAGGGAGGATAGCAGTCCAGCGATCTGTCGGGTGGTTTTCCCCTCGCTTGCGTATTCAGCTTCCAAAAGTTGTTCACATAGCAAGAGAATAAGTCTTTTGGTGTACCACGCCAGCAGTCGCGCCGTGCGCTGTGCCTCCCTGATCCGAGCAGCCGCCGCCCTTGCTTCAGCTTGCGCTCGACGTTGACTGCAACTGTCGTCTGTACGGGCTGAGCATGCCGACAAGGAGCCAGAATCAGACTGAGATTCAGAAAGGCCAGGAGCAACAGAGCGAGGCATCGTGAGCGGCCCATGGAACGTCGGGGAGATAAAAGGAGGCCGTGTTGAATCGGGCCGAGACACTTTTGCATGCATGCATACATACATACATATATTCTGTGGTGGACAGGGGTTACGGGCAGGTGACACCTGTGACGATTCGCCAACCTCGCGTGGCAACTGTTGCTTATTCTGCTTAAAGCATGGCAGTCTGGCTTCCGATACTTTGCGCCACTTCCTCTGTGATTGCCCCCTATCCACGGTGACAGACTCGGAATCCACGGATGACCTGACTGATCTTTTGCTTCATCCTGATGCCTGGCTCACGGCAACAGCATCGCGGAAGAGAGCGGCGATGAGACTGATAAGCCGTAAGTGGCAGCACCGTCGTGCATGGCTGAGAGATATGAAGCTGTTAGGGCCCAAGAAGATTGAATCCTTTCTTGAGAGCCTTTGGTAGCCGTTCTTTCTCATGTCATTCGCGCTGCTGAGCTTGAATTTTTTGTCGTTTGTGTGCGCACCTTAGCCTTTCAACATGCTGCCACATGGGGCCTACCGACGAGTGGGCATCTTGTGACGGTGAGTTGGGAGTGAAAGCCACTCCCCGAGTGCACCACGCTTCAGGCCAAACGAATAAAAAAATATACACATATAAGTTGCTGTATGTGTATGCAGTATATACATTACTTACACATGTGTATATATATATATGTATATATGCAGCGCGCTCGAGCACCAAGATAAAGACCGATTCGACATCTGGGGCACAGACTCGTGCCAGGAGGGAAATGCATTCAAAGCATTTGCCCAAAAGCTGCCGCTCCTGCAGGATCTTGCTATCAACGACACAACGCTGAATCTTGCAGCAGGTGTTCTCCTCTGTCTTGTGCAAAGTGCTCTCAATCACCTGCCAAGATGCCAGGTAAGCAGAACTACTGCCACCATGCCCTGCGTGCAGGGGAGAGCAATTCTGTCGGGTATCCGTATTTATGATAAGATTGTAGGGCCTGCTTCAACAAAGGCATGAGATGTCCGTAGTATGGAGCAAAGGCATCGTCGACCTGCAATGGAGCTGCAAGATGCATACCGTAGGACCACGTGAAGCGAAGCCGGCTCGCACACTGCACAAGGCCTGTCCAGCAATGACTGCAATGAACGTAATCGCCTGTATGCAGGAAGAAGCTACCAGCAGAACTATGTGTTGGTCTCGTTTCCGAGTTCCCGCCAGCCTTCTTCTGTCTTTTCACGTTGCCTTGCAGTTTGGAGCCAAGCTTCTCCATCATGGGCTGGACGAAAGGCTCCAGGTCCTCTACTCATCTCTGCTCCAACAGACAAGGTAGGGAGGAGCGGGGCAGCTTTGTTTTCACTGAGTCCTCACTACATGCACACCGCCAATGTAGGTTTTCTGCCAGTCCTCACGCTCGACAGACTCACCAAAGTGCTGGAAGGCCTCGCGAAAAGTCCGTGAAAGCGACTGGAATAAAGGACAGCCTGCTCCAAGGCCTCCATGCAGCGAAGGCACACTCGCTCGCAAGTGTCGTCAAGGCCTGCCAGGCTTAGTCGGCCTTCAGCATCACGGCTTCTGCTATGTACCAGCCTTTTAAGAATTCTGGGAGCAGCTGCGATGTCCAAGCCTACATGCCAGCGGCTGCGTCAAGCCAGACAGACTGCAGAAAGTCTGTGTGGCATGTGTCCGAATTTTAGCTGAAAAGGAAAGTCGCACCTCTGAGTTGAGCACATCTGTGTGATCCTGACAGACTGTGTGCCCTTTCGGGTTGACGACTACGTATTCAAGTGGCGACACAACTTCCCGACAAAGCAACGCTCCTCTGAAAACTGTGCAATTGCACCCCAGGCCGTGTAGCGAACGCGCCTGGCACTGCACAGCACTCAAGCCCAATTTTCCGGTCTTACACCTTGCAAGTCCTGCACCTCCGTCAGCCTTCTGCAAGCAACTTCGAGCGCTGCTGTCGTAGTCTTTTCGCACAGCCTACCCACTTCATGTCGAACACCCGTGTCATCGCGACAAGATGCCTGCGAATAAATGGCAGACAAGGGGTCGACTAACTCCAGCAACGTGGAACACTGACGCCATCAGGCGGGGCGTCTTCAAACGTGAATTGCCGAAGTGCTATCACATAGTGGTAGCACACAGGCTGCACACACCAAGCTTTGTGACCGATAGCCTAGCTGCCAAACATAAAGCCACACAAGCGCAGCAATGAATAACAAAAGAACAGGATGACGAGTGATCAACGCATCAAGAAGTCTTTCAAGCCCTCGAACGGACTTGCATCCGGTGTCTCACTCGGCGCGGCCTCCGCTGAATCCGCCGGCTCACTTTCAGTCTCTGTCTCAGGCACCACATCCTTAGACGAGGTTTGCTTATCGGACAAGCAAAGAAGCCACTTTGAAGCAAGCTCGATTAGGTTTAGGTTCTTCTGCTGCGATGCTAGCCCACAAACCGCCACACGATTGCTGAATGCTCGCGAGGCACTGCCGGCTCCGTGTCATCCTGCTTCTCGTTGCCGCTCACGGCTGCATCTAGCATTGTCAACATGACGTGCGCCCCCGTCACATTCTGTCCAGGCCGTGTGCGCACTTTCACGGCCAGTCCCGGAGCAGCCTCTTGCCTAAAGGATTCACTGAAATCAGATCTTCCCAAGAACCCATCGGCCACATCACCATCCGGTGACTTGACTGCTATCACGGCATGTGTTGGATAAAGGCGAAACACTTCGCCGTCAAGATCGCGGTCCGAACCGATTGACATAAATTTAGACATAAGCTCAGGGGTGTTTCTCGATAATTTTCCACCGTCCAAGGTTAGACGATACAGGTCTCCAGATCGCCTGGTAACATAAATCCGCTCGCCGTCCACCTTGAGCACACGAACGGAAGTGTTCCTGCCGACTCTCAGCTTTTCGAACGCTTTTCGATCGTGGCCGTCCCCACACTCCTGCCAGTCCATGTAAGCAGGCCGGTCAACCCCCACGTCCAGGAAGATTCCGGGTCTCGGACCGCGAAGTATGCTGTCCACGGTCCCTGGCAGCGTGTCCCCCACACTGATGTCTTCTGGCCGTCTGCTCGGATCGCGCATGCTTACGACAGCTCGCCGAGTCCGTGCTGCATACTTCCGCCGGACCTGAATTTTGCTGCCAATCCGAAGTTCCTTCTCTGCACCTTCTGCAAAGTCTTTGCGCGCCAGATCTGCAATTGTCGCCTTGCTGGGATCAGAAGGACTCACAACTCTCAGGTAGGCTTTCTGGAAGTCAAAGCCAATAACCTCGGCGTCCACCTTCTCAGAGATCGCTAGCTTGTCCGTGATGGAGCGGTCGACCTTTAGCCCTTCATAACTTGGCCTGTCGCCGATGTCACGACATGTGATTTTTAAGGTGTTGTTGGTTTGCAGCACCCGAACTTTCATTGTGGAGTTCTTTGCTGGGACATCTGCCGGAAAACCATCGCAGATCTCGCTGACAGGCAGGACGGCCTGGCATGGACCAATAGGCAACTCTAGACTTTAGATGATTGGACACAGGCTAGCAGTAGCAAGCTGTGCAGCTGTGCGCTGTCTCAGGGCCTTGATTCCATCAATCCGCAGAACCAGTCCTTTCTCAAACCTCCCAGTCACTGTTCCTTCCACTTCGTCACCGACTTGAAACTTGGATTCTCCTCCGAACACTGTCTGTCAATCTTCGTCCAGCCAAGCCAGCAGAAAGCTACCATGCCAGACACCGCACCTGGTGCCTTCTTGGCCTTCTTGTTCCTCAGTGGTTCTCTTGGACTTGCTGCACGGCATTGCTGAAACCTACTTTTCCGTGCCGTGGAGCTTCGATGTTTCAGCGCTCAGCTTTTCAAAGTCCAGAGCTGCCAAAACGGCGGAGGACACCTTCCTCTCAACTCTCAACGCAAGCAACGCCACAGGTCAGAGTCCAAGCAAACAAAGCAGTAAAGCTCTGTCCCTGGCAGGTCCTCTTGCAATCTTTGAGGCTACTGCCAGATTTCTTCACCTGGCCCTCTAGGCTCGTTGAGAAGTTCTTCAAGCAAGGCAGCTCAATCGATGCCTGGGCGATCAACATGTTCAAGCTTCGCAGGAAAGCCAGAGTGATTCCCAGTCCCTGTTGTTGCAATGCTGCCGGATGACTTCATACCGCCAGATGAGATCTCTGTTTGTCGGCTTTCTTCCTAGGAGCTGCGTCAGCTTCTGCCGCAGTTCCGACTCCGGGTCGCTTTGGGCCGCCTCCTGCCCGTCAGAGACTCAGAGGCTTCAGAAGTCAGCTCGCCAGTAGTGGATCCATCTTCCGAGCCTGCGCTGACATTGCGATTGAAGATCGCAGGGGTGCTGAGATGGCTCCTGCGCAGAAGGCCTCCTGACAAGAGCCGGCTGACTGCTGGAAGGGGTCCAAGAAATTTTGAGGAGCTCCGCAAGTCAAACGAAATCTGGAAGAGTCAAGCCAGCCCAGGTCTACATGCGGACTCGCAAGGGCAGCATGAACAGTTGAAGGTGTTTCTTTCCTTGGTGTGATTACGCTTCGCTGCGAGCTACCAGCTACTGAGAGAAAGAGGCGAAAAGGAGGATCACTGGAATGTACCATCAGCCCCTTGGCTTGCGACCGGGCCCTGCCAACTGCAACTTCCCGACACAGCAGCTTGCCACAAAGCAGCAAGGGGAGCCCTGAAACTGCCAAACCTGCGAAAACATGCTCCAGGTACCAGAACCCTGCACACACCTAGGAAAATGACAACCCGCCTAAGCCGTGAAGGCAAAATCCCGAGGTGCACAACATGACTTCGTTTCCGGTTCCCACCGGCGTCCTGCGTCATCTCCAAGCCCAGCTGAAGCAACAAAGACAGACTGCCGATGCAGAGGCAGCGCGTAAGCAATCCAGACTTGGACCTTAGGGCACTTTGCGGTTGCCTTTAGGTTCCACTTGCCTGCGAAAGGATCAGCAGTCGAAGCTAAAAAAATACGTGCTCAAGACTAAGTGTATGGAAAAGAGAAAGGGGGAGGGAGAGAGAAAGAGAGAGAGAGAAAGAGCGAGAAAGAGAGAGAGAGAGAGAGAGATATGGAGAAAGAGAGAGGCGGAGAGAGAGAGAGAGAGAGAGAGAGAGAGACACAGAGACACAGAGAGACATGAGAGACACAGAGAGAAACAGATAGAGATGCAGAGAGATTGAGAAGCATTTCAAGGGTCCTTGAGGCAGGGGCCTATGGAGCCGCGCATGCTGGCCGTCCATTCGAAGCAAAGCCATTCCGCAAGTATCACAACTTAAAGGATGTGGCAAGACACTACATGCAGTGAAATGAAAACACATGCCTTCAAATTCTGTCAATTCTGTCATCCACTGGTCAACAAGCGAGCAGTCGCCATCCGTGGCTGTTCGTATCCGTCGCTTGGGCCAAAATATTGCCAATGTTTATGTTGCGCGTCTTCTCCGCCTGTAGCATTCTGTAACTATAGCTGCGTCATGCATGACATGACAGCAACCTGCATGAATATCAATCGGCCGGGGGAACGCATGGGTCGCGGCAAGCTGCATCTTAATGCCCTGCAGCATCTGGGCCACAGTGGCCTGGCTCCCCAAGATTTCCGAAAATGTCGGCCTTGGGTTGTGCTGTCCTTTGCGTCGTTCCCTAGCCTCATCATCCACATATTCCGCAATCATCGTGAGGGTGGAAATGCCAGCGACAACCTAGCAAGATGATCACATGGGCAATTCTTTTTGTTCCTTCTCGGAAATGTGAGCCTGCTTCCAGTCACCTGTCTGGAACAACTTCGCCACAGCCTGATCAGGAGTATCTTCCACAAGCCCCAGCAGCCCAGCACATCTCCGAATCAAGTTCTGGAGTCTAGAACCGCTTTGATGAGCCACCTGCTTCAAGGCTTCGAGCATTGGCAGGAATGCATCTACCTCCAGCCGGGCATTGTGCTGAGAAGAACTCTGATCCGCGGCTAAAGCAAAACGAAACAGGAGTAAAGCCACTTCCTGTCGTGCCCATCTGTCGATGCCAGGCGTGGCTCTTGCTCATGTTGCTACTGATAATAAGGCTGCTGCTGCTATGACGTACAGTACTACTACTACTACTACTACTACTACTACTACTACTACTACTACTACTACTACTACTACTACTACTACTACTACTACTACACGACGACTACTACTGTTACTACTACTACCACCACCACTACTACTGCTCCCATTGCTGCTACTACTAACCTTCCTACCTACCTGCCTCCCTACCTCCCTACCCCGACCCACCTACTCCCCGCTTACCCACGGGGTACTCCTACTGCTCCTGCTCCTGCTGCGACTGCGACTGCTACTGCTGCTACTACTACAACTATCACTAGTACCACGATGCCGACGACAACTACTGCTGCTACCACTACGGGCTCTATTAAAGTGAGGAGAACACTAGTGGAACCTGTCGGTCCGGTGAATAAACCCATGAAACAACTCGACCGAAAAAACCTGAGATCGCTGAACCAAAACCCTGCAGGCCTGAACCCCATGAAAATGCAAACCCAAAAAACAGTAAACTCGTAAAACCCTAAACCTGGGCTCATTCCCTGAATCGTACAAGAAAGAGCCCAACAGTGCTACCCTGAACTTAAATCATAACTCGTAGACCACGAACGGTAAAAGCCGCACACCCCAAAGGCCCTAACTAAATCCAAAACAGCCAATGCTCCAACCCTCAAACCCCTACAAACCCTGAAACTAAACCGCACGCGCTAAAAAACCTGAAGCCTCAAAAAAAACTGAAGCCATGAACACCCTGCACCAAAAAAAGCCTAAGCCTGAAAGACAATGCAATACTGAACCCTTGAAGCCCCATGCACCAAAATCCCAGACACTCGCAAAGCTTGTGAATGGCACATGCTTCAATCGCGTGTGCTTGAATTGCACGTGCTTCAACCGTACCGTTTGTGCTTGAACCGGCCCTTGCGCTTGAGTCCGGATCTCAAAACGCATGTGCTCAGTCGCGTGTGCTTGAATCGTATTCGAGCGTGCTTGAATCCTAGTCACAGTGCTTCAGTCGGGGTCGCTGCTAGAATCGTGGCGGAACACATCATATGCTCAGACGGACAAGATGCTCTGCTTTGCATATGCGTGTCTACATTTATCGGTCCTGGGTTCGCTGACGCAAAACTTATGCGGCCTTGGCGGCACAGCGGCTGAGCCGGTCGACCTGAGCATAAGGGCCCACGGATATATGCCGTGAATTCGGTCTGTAGACGAACGGGCACACGGAATCGCAGAACTGTCGTCACGTTCAACTTGGGCTTGCACGGCCTCCTTACCGAAGGTAAAGGCCCTTGGCACTGCCGATGTTAGTCAGTTACTTATAGCTGAAGCAAACATTCCATGCACACCATGCAAATCTTTGTCTGGCGGTCCCAGCTCTTCATCATCTTCTCCGGTCTCGTCGTCCTGCTCGGCTAGAAAATCTGGAGTCCGACTCACTATGTTCAATCCATCACGGCCATACCGCATGGCTGTGTCATCCTCCTGCATCCATGTGCTTACGTCATCGTTCAGCTGCATCATGAAGTGCATGCAGAGGTCCAGCGCCTGCAGTCTCCAGCCATTCGAGAGTATAAGCCGACACATGCCATCTCATCCTGACAGCTGCCCTCAGCTCTGTCGCAAAGCTCCAAGAGCCCTTTTTTTGACTCACTTGGCAAAGGCCAATCTATATTGAAGAAAATCATGTTGAATTAGCTCTTCAGCTGCATTCTCCGCTTAAGCGTACTGCCCCCGGCTGTCGGAAGCTGAGTGTCGCTCTGGGATTGCAGCACCGTCTTCTCACACTGTCCACTTGGCGTTGCTCCGTTCAGGGTGAATGCCTTAACTTGCTTCCTTTGCCGGGCTGCTCGTTGCTTTCGTCGCCTCACAGTCAACAAGCAGCTGTTGATAGGCGTTGCCTATGAAAGCATAAATCTTCTCTTCAACTTCTCCCACCGACAACCCACCTTGACGGCGTCAGGCTTTTTGAAGAGGTAATGGGCCACGATCCACTCATTACCATCCTTGTAACCCCAGAGTTCTGCGCAGGCCATGAAGAAGGCCCTGAGGGCAGAGCATGCGGACTCCTTGCTTCTTCGCCAACATGTGCAGTAATCACTGCGCAATTCGAGCCTCCATCGATTGAGCCACATAACTTCAGTGCCTGCACATTCAGGCAACCTCATTCGGTTGTGATATCTGATCTTGTAGCCTGAATCTGCAAGAAAAGAAACCCGGACCTGGAGGGTAGGTCTGCTTCAGCAACTCCAAGACCTGCGTGCAGATGTTCACTCTCTCTCTCCAAGGAACAACTTGCAATCACTCAGAAGCAAACCAGCACATGGCCTTTTCGGAGTTCTCGTCAAGATTCTGCAACCACCCCTCTGCCGTGAGCTGGTAGTGTCGACCATTCACGTGCCAGTGCTTCTCCTGCGGAAAACCGATGTGGTTCGAAGATGCAAAAAGTCAGAAAGTGCAGAAATTCACGCGAACCCCTGCAAGGCTCCAGCTGCAGATGCCGCTGGAAGTAGAAGAGGAGGTCGGCAGAAGGCATGGTACCCCCCGCGAAGAAGTATCGAGCCATCCAGTCTGCACAACAATCCGAGCTGCGCCCGTAATGCCAGAGGGCTCAGTAGGTTTTATCGGTGATAGGCTGGGCTTAAGGTTTTGGTAGGCTGGAAAAGGGTAGGGAAGGGCAGCGAAAGGAGAACATGCAGCGACATGAGGTTGCTAGGCGCAAGAAGCAGACATGAAATTGTGAGCCTGCTTCAGATCTGGCCACGAAGTGGTACGGAAAGCGGGTGTGCCTGGCCGATTAAACGATGCAATCCGGTATCCAGTCTAACTACCCACCTGTCTGGCTACACTACATATCCCGCTGTCCGTTTGCAACCCTATCTATATCTGGTTCTCTATCTATCTGTGCGCGCGCGCTCTTCCGGGCGCTGTCTTTGTGTTCACTAGCATGCATGCAGTTCTCAGTTGGTTTCTTGGCATGCTTTACGACCTCAAATCTCAGCCTTCAGGTATAAACTCAAACCGGGCGTTGAGCCCAATCTCACAACGTGTGATTCACGCACATTCTGCCTTTCTCTGTATCTCCCTCTCTGTCTGCGATCCAAGATGCACGAAGATGTGCACAAACAGCTTGCCGCCAGGCCGAAGTGTGGCCGAGACACGCTCGAGCAAAATGTCATAGTTCTTCATGTGTCTTAGCAGCGCAGTGCAGCATCACAGAGCAAGCACAAAAAAGGCTCAATGAAGCTGCGCATGATTCCGCGCACGAAGCTTGATAAATGAATGGAACTACGAGGCTCTCCATCATCTCCACGGACACGACGCGATCGAAGCCTTCTGCTTGAGGCCGCTCCTTCTTCAGGACAGGGAGAGCCGCATCCACCAACGGGACTTTCGACACGTCGCAGGTGACAATTCGCAAGTTCCTCGTGGGCACTCGAAAGCGGACTGTAGAACGTCTGAGTCTGTGTGCCGTACTATGCCGAGAGTCGATAGACCTCGCTGCTTGGCTTGTTCCATGATCCAGCCACGCTGGCCATGCGAGTTTGACACTCCCACGACCAAGGCTTTCCGAAACTTTTCTGCCAAGAAAAGGCTGGCCGAACCCCAGCCACATCCAAGGTCGAGGATGGCCATGCCGTCCTTTCGCGAACGCACAAAGAAAGCATGCACAACAACTCCACGAGGACTCCGGCCGCCGGTGCTGCCGCGGCTCCTGCAAGCCAGCCTTGTCCACGTAGTCTTCCAAGGAGCGCTCTTCGGCTGCGGGGAGAAGCTCGGCCGCACGGCTGGCCAGGTGACCAGCAGCATCTTCTGGGAAGATGCACCCGGAATACTTCTTTCCTCAAATTTCTCTTTCAAAAAGAGTTTCTCTTGCACCACATGTCAGCACATCAGTGTTCCAAGTGCAGTGCACGGGTCGTGGTCCCAACCAGATGTGGTACAGCTCGGGTGGAACCTCGTAGTGCTGCTCGTTCGCTTCTGCAGTGCCTGAGGCAAGATCTGTGCGTGTGCATCAAGGACTACACCTGCGCATACCTGTGCAGGCAAGCTGCAAATTGCGATTGGCATTGTCTTCAGGGAGTCGATGAAGTCTTGCTTGGCTTCTTGGTCCAGTCGGACGCAACCGTGTGTCTCTTCGCTGATTTTCTGCGCCAGCTTGAAACGTATTCCGACCTTTCTTCCACATGCGAAATTGAGCTTGGGCTTGGGCCGTCGCCCGCAATCATGCAAGGAGCACACTGCAATTGCCAACAAAGTCTTCTGCTGGACCGCTTACAGTGCAAACCAAGTAGCTCGCGTTAGCCAATCTGGCATTAAGCCACGATCCAGCAGACGCTGAGCACTACCCACGCACATCTGAATGCAGGTAGTTTTGGGCCGTTTCAGTGCTCGCCACCCGCTCGACAGGAGGCCTGCGTTGGAAGCATGGAGAGCATCACCGTCGAAGGACCGCTCCTTCCGCTTTTTGGAGGTTTTGCCGACATCACTCTGAAGCCGCTTCTGCAGGCAGACTTGCCAATCATCGATGTGGCCCACTTCGAAACCAACTTCGCAATAGGCGAAGTAGTAATGCCATTGACGAATGAATTTGTCATCGAAGCCCTTGCCGAAGGTGCTGACCTCTGCTCGGATGTCTTTCTCATGAGCAGCAAATCGTCGTCGCCACTCATGCAGTGTCTTCGCATAGTCGAGGCCAACAGAGAAGGGCGGCGCGGCCTCCACCAAAGCCGTCCTTCCCTTCTCGCAGGCACGCTCAATCTCTTTCAGGCTCACCAAATTGGAGCCAGGGAAGATCCTCTCTCGGATGAAGTCGGATCCAACTCGATAAGACTCGTAGCGGGCGTCCGGCACGCAAATCGCTTGAATGGAGGCCTTCCCTCCCGGCTTCAAGCACTCGTCTATGGCAGCAAAGTAAGCTGGAAGGTATTCGTGACCAACGGCCTCGATCATCTCACAGCTGACAACTTTGGAGAATGCCCCGGAGCCAAACTTCGATGCTGCATCCCGGTAGTCGCAGAAAACGACCTTGATGCGGTTGCTGAACCCCGCGGCTGCGATGCGCTCCTCAGCCAGCGTCAACTGTTCCTGGGACAATGTGATGGCCGTCCATGACAGGTTTGCACATCGCTGCGCAGCTCGGATTGCCATGCTCCCCCAGCCACAACCAATTTCTAGCACCTTGTCACCATCTTCCAAATCTATCAAGTCCAGCATGCGATCCAGCTTTTTCATTTGTGCCAGCTCGAGGAAATCTCCACTTTTCCTTGCCTTCATGGCCTCGACCTCCTTGTCGAAAATCCCGGCCGAGTATGTCATGTCTTTACTCAAGAACATCTTGAACATGTTATTGGACAAATCGTAGTGGTCTGCGATGTTACGCTTAGAACCATCCTGACTGTTGGCTCTGCATGCATGTAGGTGAGCATAGTATCTTTTCGCCAGAGAGGAGACTAGCCTGACCGGCGACCAGGCCATGGGCGAAGACTCATCGCCCTTTTCCTGTCAAACATGCAAGCTGCTGAGTCTACGAATGTCTACGACTACTGCCCTGACGTGATTCCAGCTCTCGTGCTCCCGCCTTGTTGCTCAGCACCAGTCGGAAAAGGTCGGTTATGTCTGGCTTCACGTCGATGTCGCCCTGTCCAAGGAGGTGATCACATCTTGCGGTGACAGCTGCGATGTAAAGATCCTGGGGTTGGGTTTGCCTCAATGTAGCTGTCGGCGAGGCCCAGTCCTGGATCCAGTGCCATCCTTTGGACAAAGCGACCGTTACCTTAGCCATGTGGACTGGCAAACGAATTGGCGACTCAAGCATTTTGCAGCTGAACTGGGCCCTCAAAATCGACCGAGATAGACAAGCTAAGGGCGGAACGGACATAGACCTTCACACTCACACCGCTGCCGTCACCAAAAGTGTGCTTCTCTCCGCCAGCAAACTCCACGACCAACGAGCCCCGCTTCAACATCTTCTGTAGGCCCGGCATTAAAGCACATGACCTTCGAGCAGCAGCTTTGGAATCTGCGGGTCGAACACCATAACATGAAAGTCCTCAGACGACTCCCCACGGAGCTCACGGTAAGCTGCGTACCAAAGGTTCCTCATCATTGCAGAGGGCGCTGAGTCGTCATTCGAGGCCATGGTTCACAAGCTCTGCAACAGATCCGCAGCGTAAGAAGAACCATGCAGCCGCTGCAGCCGGCCGATCTTTGGACCAAATGGCTAAATCAAGGCGTTTCGGTCTCTGCAGCACAACTAGACATCCGGCCCGTTCTGGCAGTAATTAGTGCAGCGCCTGCTCAATGTAGTGCGGGATCTTCACCATCATTTTCGGCTTGCTCTCCATGAAGGTGATAATTACCTAGACTGATGGACTCCGGACGGATCAGCAATAAAACAGGCACGAAGAAGATACATGTCATGCATGTCATGGCTGCACCTCGAACGCATACTTCCGAGACGAGTTGTCTTGGTGTGACCTTGTCAGATCAATGACAGGGTTCATCGCGCCACGTGTAGTCATGGATACATAAGGCTGCTGCTTCGCAATACCGCAGAGCACTGGCATCAGATGTGACGCGATCTTAGTCTGGTGCTCGTTCGGGAACATCTCCAAAATCACTGCATGGGCAGTTTGAAGTGACTGGGTCCGCTACATGCTGCTTGTAGAAGTCTGCAGTCTCCGTCGCTTGAAACGATAGCAGTACCGTGTTCAAATGCCTCGGCATTGCACAGTGTGACATGGCACTCATGGACTGCGCCCTGCTTTTCCAACGTGAACGAACTTTGTGTCCTGTTGACAGACGTATGTGCTACTCTTTGCCCTTGGTTGACTGCCCAGAAAACTTGGCACGAGACTTGGCATCTGCGCTGGATGCTAGCTGCGCTGTTACTCGGCTCACCTGAACAGTTCTGGGTACTGCAGCTTCTGCGGTCGTTTGAAGCTCCGGCAAAATACTCAAACTCAGAGCCTCCGGTATGAGAGGCTGGAATGGCTTGCGCTCCTATTTGCAGCGCAGGTTCACCATAAGCATCGGCCAGCCGGGTAGCACGCACCTCTTTTTTCTCGATGCTGTCTACGAGCGAAGTGACAAGCGCGGCAGCTTCCGCACGAACCTCGGGTGCAGCATGTGCGAAACCAGCTTCGAGAGCAGTAGCTGCTGCAATCTGAGACATGAACAGGATCAGCGGAATCTTCTAAGCACGTGTGCAGCACCTGCGAAAAAGCTCATGCAGCACAGCTGTGAGGCACGACCCGGAACCAGATTCTGTCGAGCCTGGCCACTTTGAGTAGTGTTGGCGACGAGCATTTGCCAGACGGAGAGAACTAGCTCCTAGCAAGGCAAGCAGAAGCAAGCGACGTGGGCAAAGTGCCTTCGCTCCAAGCAGTGGCCTTCACTATCCAGAGGCAGTCTGCTCGGAGGCTGCTGTCCTCCGGAAGCTGGGCTGGGCCCCGCCCGGCTTCCCTCGCTTGGAGTCCAGTCTGGAGTTGGGTGGAGAGGAAAGAGCTAGAGCAGCTAGCAGCTAGAGTCCTTGCTCTTGTCGCAGATTATGCGGAAAAGGCTAGGCATCAGTGTAGGCCACTCCTGGCAACACTTGCCAGAGGTTCTGAAACACTGCAAGAGTATCCGAATCCTGAATGTTTTGCGGACGCTGGTTCTCTTCGACGTTGATGATCTGGTTCCCCAGGCTTTGGATGCAGTCTGAAACCTCGACAGTGTCCAGCAAAGATCCTTCAGCTGCAAACGACAACGCGCCTTCTTCCGCACTTGTGTCGCAGGCTCCGCCTTGCCAGGCGAATCAAAGAGCGCACGGAGCCGTGCAAGCTGGCCGGTGCCTCCAGCAACTGCAAAAGCTTCTCTTTGACATCCTCCTGCAGCCCGCGAAATGGGCGGATCACACCCAAACTGACAACTCAACGGCAGGTTTATCAACTTCAATCCTGATTTGCACCGAGTTTTTGCCACGTAGAATCGGTATCTTTGACCTCACAGGATGCAAGTCGACTCCAGCAAGGCACGTTCACCTGAAAGCACAAACTCGCGGGCTCAGCCTTGCTGCAGCACTGCCTCAGCAGCACGGCGCTTTGCTCACGCACCTTGGCACGTCTACGGTACAAAGCACAAGACAAGGCCCTAAGAGGACTCGCCTGCTCTGCAGAGCTGAGACAAGGGCAGCTACTTCAAGTTCTGAGTGCTGCAGGACCTGATCGCGCTTACGCTGTTGCCCTTGCCTACCCCTACAAGCACATATGCCGTCGGAGTCAAAAGCAGCAGCACGGGGATTAGTCGGAGGCAGTTCCCAAAGGTCATGACTTCATCCAACATAAACTAAACGTACATGAAACGGTCCCGCTTGGTTTTGAGTTTGAAGACTGGAACTTCCACAATACAGACTCCGACCCGGAGTTCTGCAGCTGTGGAAGCTTCCAGTTGTTTTCCTGACCCTATCTGACCCTCATTAAACTAGCTTTGAGGTGAGGTTGGCTGCCATTGCACGAGAGCGGTCCCTTCACGTGTGCGATGGAGTGCTTTCAATCGGTTCATGGGGTGCAAGGCATTTGGGCTTTCGGTTTGTTGAAAAAGGGCAGGACCGCTTTGTTTCTTGTGTGGCTTTGGGCTTCATCATTTGGGCTGCTGGGTTCTGTGGCTTTTGAGTTGAAGGGTTCGGAATGTTTGTCTTGATCATTTAGGGCAGGCAAACGAGCACCCAGCTTCATGTGGTGCTGAGCCCCGCACCGCGACTAACGATGCTACAACTGTAACTGGCTCGTTCCTGCCAGTAGTGCACGTCTCGCTGCCGTAATCCTCAGCTCCCACACCTGCCTCTTTGCCGTGTCGTATCGCGTTTCTGCTGCATTTCTCAGAGCGTTGTCCGTGCCTTGCAATGTCGCGATATGCTTGCAGCTAGACAACATCAATGGGCACACACTGTGGGCACGGCCCAAGAGCTGTTGAATGGTCTCCACGAAGCTGCGATCCAAGGTCTGCCATCAGCAGAACATGCAGTGCGTGCAGCACTCGAAAAGATGCCACTGCCACGGCTCCTGTCTCGGAGGTGGAGCAAAACCCATTTGATTCGACATGGACCTGCTCGGACACTCGTTGTTACTTAAACAAATTTCTGCCGTCCCAACTGATTTCAAAGCACAGTGCGGCCAATGAAAATCCACTGCGAGCCGTAGGAGAATTACGTGCTCACTGTGCTCTCAATACATAGTTCTCAGGTCCCGGCGCAAGGTCTTGACGCAGACGGAAGTCAAAATGTTGTCGGCTTCTGTACGAGTGTGTCTCTTTGCAGGCTGATCTGGGTCTCGGGTAAACAACATAGACGGACGGGTGGCCTTTGCTTGACATGTAGACATGAACGAGTACCATGAACAAGCGCTGGCAGTTCAGCATTGAATGGAGGCTCGTGGCGGCTGCGGCATACATCTTGGCTGCTCGGCTGCGTGATTGAGGCTTCGCACTGGAAACGAGCCTGCACAAAGTTACGTGAGGTTGCTTTGGACGCACTTGCAAAATGCCTAAGGCAAGCTGCTCCGCACATTAACGTACACTGCTAATCCTTGGGATTGCAGCTGAAAGCCGGGGTCCCGCCTGAGGCTGCATACGACTTAAACTGACCGACTCTTTCGGGTGACACAGGGCTCTCGCGCTTCCCTGCGGAGAGGCCACCACAGCAGAGGTACGAGACTTTGCAGTGTAAATACGCCCTACGATTCATGAGGAGAAGTGCACGGTTGAGACCATGGGTCGGCACCCTCAATGACCTTAGGTTTACATTGACCACGCCGTGCAATGATGTGAAGTCGAAGTCCAAGATCATGACTCCGCAAGACTTTGGAGAAGTGGTCCTCTTGCCTGGCTGCTGCCACCTGCAGCGGGAAGGCTTTGCCAGCCCGAGCCGTGAGGGGCTCGGCGCAGTGCACCGCACACTTCTCGGTGCACCTTCTGCGCGTTGGTGTTGATGCCCGCAAAGTTGGAATCCAGCATCCACCGCATCATCTGTAGGAAACCAACCTGTTCACTTCGTGAAATGTGGAGCAGCGGCTGCGACTAACGAATTTGGGCCGTGGCAAAGCTGAGTTCGTGCTTGTCTGTCAACTGGACACGGCCTCGGCTGTCTTGTTTGTGAGCTGCACACCAGCAATGCCCAACAGAAAGAGTCTTCGAACGTCCCTGCTCAAGCTGAGACGAGCTGCTCAATTTCTCTTCCATGGCCTGTTTGGCCTGCTGGTTGATCTGCAATTCCAGCCTGATAGATAACACCCCCCGAGGAAGCAAGCTAGACGTCCAGGCGCTGATTCCTTTCCGGGGTACGATCGCAGCAGTCGCTGAAACATCGAATGGGTGAGGCCAGGCTCTTCCTCATCCAAATCCTTCCAAGAACAGCTCAGGATCAGATGAATTGGATGGCCAAGGCATGCAAAAGCTTGCAGCAAAAGCATGCAGAAAGGCCTCTGTATCCTTCTTCTTGGCAGCAGTCTCTTGCAGAGATACACGCCTGAACATCTGCGAGTGATGGCCGAATGGTGCACCGCACCGCAACAGAGGTTCAGGGAGCAGGCTGGCCCAGCGTCCCTTCGTCCACAGCCGGATTGAGACCACCGTATTCTCGGCACAGCAACAATTTAGAAGAAAAAATGAAAAAGCTGAAACCAGATGAACCTGCTGCGCTCTCTTGTAAGCTTGGAGCTGGCCCAGTTCAAGAAGACAGATCGGAAGTCATCAATCTGCAGCATCTTGTTTGCTGTCGCTCTGCAGAATGTCGTGATGGCGAGCTTCTCATCTTACAGCCTCTTGCTTGGAGAAGGAGATGGCTTCAAGCAAGGTTCGACTTTCTTCCTCCGCTTCGGGACCACTCGCACAAAGCGTTCAAAGATGCGCGACCGCAAAAGTTGCCGATTGCAAGCCTGTCCTCCTTCGCCTTTGCACGACTTGTCTTCACAAGTCTGACAAGCTGTACCTTCAAAACGACCCTCTGCACATGCACATCAACTGCTGTTGCCAAAGCGGATCATCACGCATGAATTCGGGCACGAGCTCCCAGAACGTAATCATGCTGTTGATTTTCCCCTTGGGCGATTTCACACCGGCCTGGTTTCCAGTCTGCGAGGAATCCAAGAAAAGGCCACAAGGCACAGAAGTAGCGCAAAGGCAAAAAGGCAAGCAATGGCTCTGCTGAGCCTCGGCGGCGAGTTGCTTGGCCTCTTCGAGCTGGTCAAGTGCTGCCTGCCGTTCTGCGATAGTCCTCGTCACGAGCAGAGGTGCAGCTGCACTTGCAAAGCTGCAAAGGACAAAGGACTCTGCAATGTCAATGCTGCCTGCATGGAAGTCCAAAGTCGTTCAAGAGCTCCTGCACCTGACAGAATCCCGTGCAAACAGCAGGCAGTTTCGGTGTTGCCTACCAGAAGCCTGTCGCACAAAGAAGGTATCGGGAAGACTCGCAGAAGTCACTGCCACGTGGCATCATGGGCAAGTTTAGTAGGTTCACTGAACCAGGACATTTGCCCACGATCTGTTCACCGCAGCTGCCATGGTCCACCGACAATGTGTGGATTCATCCCCTTTAACCCAATGCGAACCAAGAAGGCCTTAGTCAAACTGTACCAACATCATGGTACCAGTAGATTGTCTTGTAGCTGAACCACGCAGGCCCATTGTCAGACTTGCATCAACAAACAGTGCGCAAGCAACAAACGACAGAGATGTTCACAAGTTGCACGGACCGCGAAGCCCTTGGTGCAGAGCTGCATGGCAAGTCCAGATGATGCTCCCCAGATTTCCCATGTCCATGACACGACACTTCGTGTCTTCTTACGTCTTCCCAGCTCACCCTTTTCTTCAGGTTGCAGCAACTCCAGAGCAAAAACCAAAAACAAAACTCGTTGACAACAGGAAAATCAAGCCAGGCTTGAAGACGTGGACAAAGGAAAGGTAGGCCAAAAGTGTACGAGCTTGCTTGTACTGCAACCAGCGAACCATATGCCTATGTCATCAACACAAACATGAAGCGACAAGACCTGCGGCTGTCCAGAGCCAAAGGCACCTCAAAGGAATCGATGTCCCCACTCTCATCTTTGTCATAGTGCTTGAACATCTCCTGCACACAAGCTTTCTTTCGGGAAGCTTAGTTGTCAGAACCTTGAAATCTGACTTCGACATTCGGATCAGGGACTCCGATCTCTTTATGGCTTTGTGGCAATGACCATTTTATTCAAAAGTCAAGGTATGCCTCGCACCTGCAAAGAGACATGACGTCGCGCGAGTGATGTGGCAGGATGTTGCCGTCCGACCCCTGCTCTGCCTGTTCTAGTCCCGACTGCCTGACGAACTACTTCGTCCCGGTGCCTCTAAAGGAAGACCTCCTTCCTCTGCAAGCATTGCAGACAACGTGCATTCTGTGGATTGGTCACCATGACGAGGGGCTGCTGGAGCGTCGGGGGACGAGCTTCGGCTGATGCGGGTGTACTCAGCTTCTGCGAGAGTTCTTCGACTCCTTGGAATGTCCCAGAACCACGAAAACCGCGATACCGCGTGACCCACAGCGGTAGTCCAAACATCGGCACGAAGCCTGCTGAGAGACTTCTTTGGTGATTTCGGTTCTGTGGAGGAGCCAGAAGGCTGCCTCATAGCTGCATGCCGGGCGAAAGAGTTCACGGAAATCATTCTTGGTGTCAGGACTCAAGAGCCATGGCGTAAAGAACCTCCAATAATGGCTTGCGGCATTCGGCCCTCGCCTCGAGCTGGCTGATCTCAGCTGGAGAGAAGCCGGCCTCAAACAAGTTCTCAGATCTTAGCTTGCGCTCACTGCCACTAGCATTTCAGAAAGTAAGGGCTGCGCCATACGCCGTTCGGAAATCACCTTTGTCATCCGAGCTTTGTCAGCTAGCGTCACGAAGTCCTGCTTGAAAGCTCATGCGGCAAAAAGCAGCTAGTTACCGGCTTGCATGTCACTCCTCGAAGTCGACAGGTTCGGACCTTGTCGTTTCCATGGACTCCACCAAAAGATTCAGTTTCACACTCACTTCGGCTCAGAACTCTTTTTGCGCGCGAAGCACGAAGTCCTTGGTCTTTTGCACGTTTGTGCAGGGGGTGGGTGGGTGGGTCACCCTTGAGCCGAGAGCCTACGGAGGAGAAACACTACGCACGCAGCGCTAAGCTACCACGTTTCACACTCACTTCGGCTCAGAACTCTTTTTGCGCGCGAAGCACGAAGTCCTTGGTCTTTTGCACGTTTGTGCAACCTTCCCCCCTTTGTACCAAAAAGGAGTGTGTGCCCCTCCACACAAAGGGGTTGTCGGTCGCGAAGCGCGACACGACAAGGGCCACACAAAGGGGGGATGGCGGTTTATTTATTTGGGAACCCTTTGACCGGCGTCATGTCTGCGCGGGCCATGCAGGCAGCGGTGTTGGCGGACGCCTTCCTAGACGTCCAAAGGTAGGCTAAAAATGCGTCCGAGTTCCACCGGCCCCAGGTTCGGAGGACATAAGAGTCCATCCCCCCTGCCCACATTGCAGAGGCTCCCCCAAATCTGAGAGAGTGGGGGGTGTATGCTTGTACCTCCTCTCCCAAGGAGGCAGCGACAGTTTGCAGTGCCGTCTGGATGTCCTGCCTTGTAAGTTCTCCGAAGAATCTTTCCTCCTGATGCGGCGTGGCTTCTGACCATTTGAGTTCCAGAAACTCTATGGTCGCCAATACAGGGCAGACGGCCGCATCGCTGCGAAATAAGTTCCTCGTGGCGGATTCCCCTTCGGGATCCGTCTTTGAGGCTCTCACAACGATCTGCACCTCATCTGCCCCGCTGAAGGGCGGCCGGGCGAGGAACTCGCCACGGCTATACAGCTTGACATCTTTGACACGGAGCCCAAGCTTTGGGTTATTGCCGCCGACCAGTTCCGAGACTCGCAAGAGAAAGAAGAAACCGAGTTGCAATGCACAGTTGAGCTGTCTTCCCCACAGCCCCCGTGGCAACGCCGCTTGGGCCCTTGCTAACATGTGCGGAGTAACTGGACGTCGCTTGGCGATGGGTCCTTTTCTCCTCCTGATTCCCTCGAGTGCAAGTTGCAAACGAGGAAGCGGCTTCAGCGGGTCTGGGAAGCCGAGCTGTAGGTGTACGCTTCGAATCGCTCCCAGGCGGGCCTGTGCTGTGGCTGCTGCTAGCCCTTGGCCCACAAATAGGTACACCAGATAGTCGAGGAACAACGACTCTTCTCCGGGATCGAAACGATCCACGGAGCGGAGTGCTGAAACGCCCCGACGTCTAGTGTATAGCTCCCACCAGCGCCAATGGCCGTCATACAACCGCTGGGTGGATGGTGATAGGTGGTCCTTCACCAACTGCAGTCTTTCTTGCGCCCAGCGACGGGCGGGGACTACCCCCGGTTCCGGCCCTTCTTCTGAGAATTTCCGCTTCGTTTCTGCGGGGGAATTCCCGCTCGGGGCCACGAGGGGGTGGCTGCCTCGACGCCGATGGTGTCGGGTCGTTAAGCTTGAGGTCTGAGCGGGCAAGAGATCCCCCCGGGTTTCCCGGCGTGTCTCTCGTACCGCAAACCTGACCTTGCGCGTTCCTTCCCCCACCCTTCGGGACGCCGGGCGCGAAGCGCGCCACGGCGGACCCGGCCAGGTGATGAGCAACGCAAAAAGAGCAGAAGCTCCCAACAGTGGTGGTCCCGCAAGGTTGCCAAGTCGACCGGTTTCCTCAGCTTGCCGGTCGCAACCCTGTAGTACGAGCAAAGCGAGGGCGGCGAGGCCACCAAGGATCACTCGAAGGAACCCTGTATAGTTGGACCCCTGGCGTCTGGCCGCGGGTGTGCTCCCCGACGTGGGCAGTCGAGTAACCCGAGGCTCCAGCGGGGAGCAATCCAGACAGGGTCGGTACGCCCGGCTCTTCCTCGCCCTCAAGTGTCCGCAATGCTCCGCATGGAAGCATTCACCGGCGGGCGTAACACGGACGTGGTCGGCCGCCGGCGGGTGTCCTTGGGTGGTTTGACAGGCGACCTCTTTCTTCTCGACGCCTCAGCCTAAGGTGGTGCGCCAGGCAAGATAGAGGCAGCCAGTAGTCAGGAGCCTGTGCGTCCATAGCTCCCAGACTCCCCCTTCTTCCGCAATGTCCCCTTCGGCAGCATTTGCAACGATGGGAAGCAGAGCGACGGTGGTCGGCCAGAGAGCTCGCGTGACGACTCTCCGACGGGTTTCGTCGCGCGGCAAGGGTCGAGCTAACCACGGTCGAGTGGGAGGGGGAGCCTTACTGGCGGCTGGCTGGGTGAACGTGGGGCCACCGGCTCTTCCTCTCCGGTTCTGACGCCCTCTACCGAGCATCCAACCTAGCATCATCCCAAGCCCTAGTCCGATCCCTTCTCCAGCCATGCCCGGGCCTGAAGCAGGCCACGGTGCCTTAATCCCGAGAGGAGGACTGGTGGGTCTCGTAGCTGGCTGCATGCTGTAGGTAGCGACCATCCCCCATAGTGCCAGGAATCCCCCGGTTCTCCAGCCCGTCCTCCGTAGCGCACCTGCCGGGCCCGAAGCGGGCCACGGCATGGCCTTCCCGAGGTGGGGTGAACCCGAGTGAGCGTAGGGGTGGTTCTGCTCGCTTTCCGTAGGGTCGTACTTCCTGGTTTTACCTTGCTTTTCGCAAAACCTGGCCCATTTGATGCGTCGCCTGCGCTCGGACTCAGGCTTGCGCTTCTGAGCTACCGCGGCTCGCATCGGGGCGTCTAGCTCCCCAGCTCGCAGCTCTGCCTGGAAGCGCCGCAGGTTGTCCCTTGCCGCCTCATTCATTTGAAAGTTGAGGTGGCTGGCTGCGTCCGCCTGGTCGCGGACCGGGTCTTGCACCCCTGCACCGACGCCTTCGGCAGTCTGCTGAGCCGCACGGTGCGCAGCAGCTCGCAGGCGGGATTTCTCCTTTCTGCGTGCCACCCACACTCCGGCGGCTTCCTTGTCCTGCAGGAAGCGTGCGTGGTTGATCCACCCGAGGCTTTTATCCATACTGGGCCTCACTGGGTTTTTGCGTTCCAGTTCTGCCAGGGCCGGGGGGAGCGCCGCGAAGTAGGCGGCTTCTGCGCCCTCGAGCTCCGCGAGAGCGGCTGCCCTTGAGGTTGCCGCCTGCGCGCAGGCGTCGCGGTTCTTGGAGAACGCTTGCGCCAGGGACGTAAGGTTCTCCACAAGCTCGCTCTTCTCCTCGCCCGACCCCTGGGCTTCTCTGAGAGCACGCTGAACCCCGGACCAGTTGGACGCGTTGGCGGCTGCCAGAGCCCGGAGAAGCGACAACTGGCCAGTAGCCAACACCACTTTGCGGCGGCGCGGTGGTTCCTCCGTCTCGTCGAGCTCGAGTTCCTTCTTAGTTCCCCTGCCCTCCTCTTGTTTGGTGGAGCTGGACGCAGCCTCGCCCGGCAAGGCGGTAGCTACCGGAATTTCGGCCTCGTCGCCAGACCAATCCGGGTCTTCATCTTCCAGCGACATCTCGCCGATTTCTGCCGTCAACGTGTCCGGGTCGACCTTCAGCGCGATGGCTTCCGGCTCTGCCAGAGCTACCTCCCCCAACGCCTGGGCGGCGTCAACAAGGGGCTGCAAAGGACCTCCTTCCTCAACCTTCGGGCCCCAGATTGCCTGGGTTTCGCCTTCGCGCGAAACGCGCCTCGGCGGACGCAGAGGCGCTCTCCCCTGGCGCAGCTTGCTCTTCCTTCAGTGCTGCTTCCGGGGCGGTAGCCTCTGAGGCGCCCAGACCTGGACCGACCGCAGGCTCTACCTCCTCCATTCCGGGAGCGGAACGCTCCACGGAAGGCATCGGTTCGTCGCCCTCGCGCGTGGCCTCTGCTATTCCGGGAGCGAACGCTCCACGGAAGGCATCGGCTCATCGCCCTTGGGGCTGCCCTCTGGAGGGTACTGGTCTGAGCTCGTCCCCCAGCTCCGGATCGGGGCGTTCTGAGGTTTCGGCCGTGCCCCTTGTTCGCCGCCTCGTGCCGGGGTGCCGGGTTGGTGGCGTGGCCTAAGAACGACGGGTTCCGGTGGAGGTCGCGCCTCCATGGCTCGCAGGCGCTGCGTGGCGCACGCTGCTGCGCTCAGGGTGGACTGCTCCCTGCGGTCCGAACAGGACTCACAGTCGGAGTCCAGAGCTCTCTGCAACTCCACGCCCACTGTGCCCCGGGGCGCGGCCGACGCCAACTTACGCCTGGCCTCTTGCCTCTCGGTAAAGCGTGCGGCCTCTTTGTGCTCGGCCACAGCCTCAGCCCTTTGTTGGGCTTTTTCGGCCGCGGTTTTCGCAGCTCCTTCCCGGCGCGAGCCGGCAGCCATTCCGGGAGCGAAACGCCCCACGGAAGACCCCGCTGCCCGCGGTGGGAAGGGAACCGGTCCTTTCCGCCAGGACTCGATCTGCGAGATATACTCGGGGGGTATTCCGTCCGGTGCCAGGTAAATGTCATTGGTAGTAAGAAGGAACCTAACCTGGGCGTACCGAGCGGCTTCTCTGGCGAGAACAAACACGGAGGTTTCGATGTCCGATCTCCACCTGCCGTGTTTGGACCCACAGGAGAGGAGGTGGATCGCTCTACGCGCGTGCAATCCTCCTTGAGCATGTTGTTGCTGTGCCGCGCGTAGGAGCCGTGCACAAGCACCTCCGGAACCTCCTGTAGGGGGAGCTCTCTGCCAGGCCCCACGACCCCTGCTATGGTGTGACCTGACACGGCCGCCACGGTTCCGACGCACTCGTTGAGGTCCTTCAACGAGACCCATCCGTCTTCGCGGATCGGAAGACCCAGGAGGGCAGCCTCGTGTCTAAGGATCTTGACCAGCCTTCGCCGGTCAGCGTCACTCCGGGCTCGGAACGAGCCACGGAGACGCTCCAGCTTCTCCTGGTCCCTGCGCCCCTTATGGGCTCCCTTTCCCTTCTGGTTGCCTTTGCCGCCCATACCGGAGCAGCGGGTCTCGGACCTACCCTCGAGTTTTCCTCCAAGCCACAGGCGTACCAGGGCCTCTGCGTCGTCTTCCCACGGGAGCTCACAAGCTCCTGCCTTGCCTTCGCTAGGGAGCGCACCGCCCCCCTCAGAGCTGAAACGGCTGCGGTCGGGCGACGTGTCAGGGAGGGAGCCTACAAACTCAGCAGCAAAAGCTGCCAGGGCGTAGGGTGGGGCATGCAGGGCAAGACGTGCATCGCTCTCATCGTCATCTGTGGCGTCCCAGCCCCTTCCCCCGAGAAGCTTATAGACCTCTCTGGCCCCGATCACCCTAACCTGTACCCCTTGTTCCCCATGGCTCAACAAATGCAGCGCATCCCTTCGACGGGGGTCCCAGGAGCCATCGTGCAGAGGGGGCATGGGCTTGGCGGGGTCCCAAACAAGAGCGCGCGACCCCTTTGGGTACGAACCGTCCCACAGGGTTTGGGGGACTTCAACCCAAGGAAGGGGAAAGTGGGGTCAAGGTGCACCGTCCCCTCAACCCAGCCATCCTTGGGTTTGGGGTCCAACCAGTGGGTGGCATACGTGTGCAGGGGTGGCGTGCAGGGCTCGAGAGCAGCCCTTTTTTCATCTGTCGCAGCGCGTGCTTCCTGTCCTGCGCCGGGGTTTACACCGACCAGCACCCAGCGGTGCCACCACACCTGCTCTTTAAAGGTGCGGCCGGTGAACTCCTCCGTCCACCATTCCCAGCGGTTCTGGGCATCTTCTGTGCAAATCGCTTCGACCGCGAGTGGAAAGAGTCTATCCAAATGCTCGCGGCCTGCGCGGGCACGCCAGCGCCTCCGCTTCGCCAGTCACGGTGGCGACGCAAAGCAGACGTTCTTCCTGCGTCGGGGTTTCCTCCGCACCGGGAGCGGAACGCTCCACGGTGGGTGCTCCTTCCGATCGGGGCTAAGGAGTCTTGGGGGTCGTGCTTCAAGCCTCCAGCGGCAAAGAAAGCTCGGGTGTACACACCGTGCTCCGAAGCACCGAGCTCATGCACCTTCCAACCGAACGCGGGCATGGCCCGTGGAGGGGCCGGTCCAATCCTCCGTGCGGCGAGCTGCAGGGCCATCTGCCGATCGGAGTCTGGTTGGCCTACCCACAAGAGGGCTCTGCGGTGCCAAGCTTCTTCCAGCACTCGGCCCCAATCTTCTGGAACACGGAGGCGAGTCAGCCTCTGTTGCTCCATGACTTTGTCGGGGTCAAGCCGGGTCAGGTCGTCGGCGGTTTGGTTTTGTGATAAGTGCGAAGGTATGCCCCCCTCACCTGTAGGCCATAGACCCCCTCTAGCGCTCCCAAGACTTTCAGGAGGTGGTTGGCTTGCGCATTCCCGGCTTGCCGCTTGCGCAACCAATCTTGCACATTGGTGTTGTCTCCCAAGTACAGAACCACGCTGCCTGCCCAGGCTTCCTTTCTGGCGACTACTAACACGAGCAAGGCCAGCAATTCCGCGACGCCTATCTGCACCAAGTCCTCCTCGGGCTCGGTACGAGCCTCGAGGTCGGTGGGATCCTGGGCGTTGGCTTCAAGGGGCGATAAGAGAGGAGCTGCGGCGCAAGCTACTGCGACCCTTGCGGTCCAGTCGATCGCTCCCAGCCGGGTGGGCGTGGCGTCAGCTGACACCCAGACCAGGTTGCGCTTGACCTCTGGTAGGGCCACGAGTTCAGGCGTGGTGAGGGCGTGCTCGAGCTGTGAGACGAAGCGCGCCTCCCAAAATTGCCGCGAACCGACCAGCAGCCTTTGCAGCTCGATGGCGCTCCAGAATGCTTCCCACTGTGCGGACTGTTCCGCCTCATTCCCGCGTAGGACGACGTGGCCTTCTCGGTCGGCGGGTCCCAAAAGCGCATTAGTGCTCTGGAGGTAAGGGGCGAGTTGCGGGAGGACCCCGAGCCAGAACTGTTGAGAGCCCCGCAACACCTGGACTTCTTTGAGCGGTACCTTGGTCTGGCCGGCGTCGAAGTACGGGGACTGGAGGACGTGGTAGGCTCGCTCGACCTTGAGGGGTGGGAGCCGACAGGTTCCGGCCTCTGTATCGAACTCTAGGCCCCAAATCAATTTTCTCGTGGTGAGAGTACCCTCCTCGACGTCTTTGGCCGCATTGATGGCGAGTGGCCCCAAAGTCTGTCGGATCGCTTCTTCCAAAGCGTCGACCGACAGCTGAGGGCGTAGGCCCAAGTCGGGCTCGATCACAACCGAGTCGTCCATTAAAGCGAGCGACCGGAAGGAGGACGAGTCGTGCCACTCGGGCCGGTCGGGCCCGCATGCCCTGTGTAGCAACTTGATCGCCCATGCGAAAGCCATGAACTCTCCTGGGGCCCCAGTCCATCCAAACGTCATTGCGAGGTACAAGACCGTAACCGGGCGCGAAGCGTCGCCACGGCTGTCCCGGGTAGCCCCTTCAGTGGGGAGATCCGCTCCGAAAAGCCTGCAGTCGTCCTGCTCGACCCAAAGCCACTTAAAGGCTTCTGAGACGTCTTTCTTTGCCAATAAGACGCGGACGCCGGGGTACCTGCTCTTGTACCACATCACCAGCCTTACTACCTCAGCGTATCTGGGTTGGATGGCTGGAAAATGGTCGTCCTTATGGCAAAGCTCATTAACGACTCTGGCGTCCCATATTACTCTCCCTTTGGAGGAGACTGACCTGTCTGGGTTGTACTTCGGCACTCTTGCCAATGGTACAGATACCACCCCCTCTAACAGGTCCTCTTCATCGGGGCCGGGGCTCATCAAGAGCACTCGTCCTCGCGTGGCGTCCTGCCAGATTAGCTGCCGAGCTTCTTCCACATGATCCTTGAGAGAGGGATGCGGGGTGGCCTTAACCCGGGCACGCTGCGTGCCACGGTACTCGGCCTTTACCCCTTCCTGGGCAACTCTTCTAACCCACGCAAGGAGATCCTCCGGAAGGTGACTATCGAGGTGGTGATCGAAAAGCCCTGCGAAGTGATCTTCTCCCCGAGCCCTCCACGCGTAGCGCAGCGCTCCCACCGTCTCCTTCCATCCTCCACAAAGCCTGAGGAGGGTCGTGCCAGCCTGCACGGCACCATTCCAAGCCTCTAAAGAGTACTCGACCTGGTGCACCTTCCGCAGGTAGGCCTCAGTCGCCTCCTCAGCTTCTTTGGAGAGGCTCTTGGGCAGCCAAGACGGCGGAGGCCCCAAGAGCGGGCCAGAATCAGCGAACAGCTTTCCGCACCTGACGGAGTCACCTGTTCCCTCGGAGAGGTCGGCCTCTTGGCTTTTTCGCTCAGCCTCCCCCGCAGGGTTATCAAGAACAATCTTCAGCCTTTGCATTTTGGAAGCAAAATCCTCCTCCCCCCCCCCGGTACTACAAAGCGCGGCGAGCCCAGGGGGCACGCAGAAAGACGCGCGCAACATGGTAACCCCTCCGGCCGGGCCCAACAGGGGGCTGGGCAGGCGTTCGGCGTGCCAACACGCGCCGGCCAGTTGGATCCGAGTGGCCTTGTCGGTCCAAGCCCGCCGGTAGAGGGGAGCCTCGAGCACGCAACGCCCACCTGTTTGTAACTGCGCGGCGGCCAGCCGCAAAACGGAGGACCACTCGTCGGCGGGCGGACCCGGAGGCAGCGCGGCGGGGAGAAGCCAGAGGCAGGAGACGCCTCCTTCAGTAATGTACGTCAGAGCCGCGGCTGCGGCAGCGGTCTGGCAAAGGTCCCCAGGCACAATCGGAGGCGGCGTGCGCCGTGGAAGGCCCCAACACCAGCAGCGGGAGGGGCTGGCCTGCGGGGGGCAGACAGGAGAGCAGCGGCCAGTCGACGGACGTGGTCGGAACGGCGGGAGCAGCGGTGTGCGGGTCGGGCCCGGAACGGGCCTCGACAGGGTGGCCGCGACCTGCGCGCAAAACCTGTAACCCAAACGCCCCGTCCGAAACGAACCGGGCGCCCGCTTGGGGTGGCAGACCTGGCACTGCAGGAGACGCCCCGCGTCGAGAAGCGGAGAGCCCTCAGCTTTGTCAAGGTACGCCTCCCAGCCAGCTGCCTCGAGCTCGCGGCTCCCCAAGGGCGGCAAGCAGGACGCGTCGGGAACCAGCAAGCGCATGTGGCCACGGTGCACCAGCACCCACCTGGTGTCCTCAGCTTGGCCGCTGTAACGGCTGCCACAGACAATCTCCACGCTAGGCCGCATATATGCGTCGAGGCGCAGGACGGCCAAGCCCAGGCAATCCCACTCCTCCAAAGGGTGGGCAACCAAAGTACGGTAGTCGCGGTCGTGCCCGAAATGGAGAAGGTCGTGGTGGAACACTCGGACGTCCGCTTCGGCCTGAGTGAGCCGTTCGGGCGTTGGCCCCAAAGAGTCCTCGGCGACTCGTGCCTGCGAGCACCACCGGACTCTCCACTCAGCGGCGAGAGCCCAAACCGCCTCGGGCGTTGGGAGGGGCTGGTCCGGTGTGGCGAGATAAGCGGCGGCAACGTGCAGCAACAAGCACTGCTTAGGCTCGTCGCGGACGGCGGCAAATCCCATCCGTTCGCAGGCCTCCGAGGAGAGGGGAAGCTGGTCCTGGTAGTCGTACATGGCCCAGTGACCGACGCCCTTCCAGGTGAGCGTTCCGGCCCCGATGGAGGAATTCCATGTAAGACCCGAAAGCTGCACCAGTGGGGACTCGCCGGCCTTGCGGTGGACGCCGCGTTCCTCAAGGAGGTGGGCAGCCTCTTCAGACAGCTCTGGTCCACCCAGGGAGACGGCTTCCTCCAACAGGTGCGTAACATCCTCAAGCTCAGGGGCACGGCCCGTTTCCTCGCGGAGGCGTAGAAGGCGATTACGCAGGTAGACGCCCACCAATCCAGGGGGATAAGGCCCCAGTGCGGGCTCTGCGGCGTCAATGACTCGCATAGTGTCCGCTCGCGCTGACTTCTCAAACTTTGAACTAGGGCAGGTAAGAGTAGCGGCGGCAGCGTCCACGTCGTGCCACCAGTTGCTGCCTTCGTCTTTGAGAAGTGCGCCAAGGGTTTCCTCACGGTCGGTGGGCAGGACATTGTCCAAATCTGCCACCACATGTCCTGTCTGTTCGGGGACTCGTTCTCCCGCCCGAGAGGTGCGGTCAGCGTTGCCCGTGCCCGCAGCTTGATTGGTCCTCTGGGTGGCAGAAACTTTGGCCTTGGCTGCAGCGATACCTTCCTGCTTAGCAGCGGCGGCTTTCGCAGCTTGCTCCGCCCGAACCCGGGTAAACTCACGGTCGACTTCGTGCCCCCTCGGCGCAGCAACTGGAGCTGGACCGTGTAGTCCAGTGTCGTCCACTTGGGAGCGGCCTTATGTTACACCCGCGATGTGTCAGGAAATCCCTGCAGAGGTATTGGCCCTGTTGGTCTTTCGGCCGGTGGTCCAGGGACCGGGCCGCTTCCTTGGGCGTGAGGCTGGGACCGAGAAGCTTCGGTGGTGCAGCTTTGTCTGCCGCTTCGCCACCAGCTCGACCCCCCTTAGGGGGTGGAGGTACGCCGGGCTCGGTTCGAGCCTCGGTGGCATCCCCTTCTCCTGCAGCCCGACCTCCGGTGTGGCCCTTCTTCTGCGGGAGAGTTGGCGCTGCATTCGCGGCAACATATCGGTGCAGAAGTATTGGGTATCGTCGTCAAGGCGAAAGGTACCCGGCAGTTGGAGCCAGGGTTGCCCGTCTGGGCCAGGGGACAAGGCGAAGAACTTTAGTCTGGCGAACGTGGGAGTCTCGTCCTGCATGGCTCTGCGGATGCGGCGATCCAACTCCCGTGCTTCTTCGCAGAAACGGGCCCAGAGTTCTTCCCATGCACCGTAGACTGCTGACGCTGACCAGGCGTAGCCATGTTGTTCCCCTAAGCGAAGCAGATGTGAAGCGGTCTTTTCGAGCACGGGGTAATATTCTTCTCCAAAGAGACAGGCGAAGGCCCAAGACTGGCGGAGGGCGGCTCTGAACCATGAGGTCAACGTGTTAGGGTACCGGCCCTTACGTTCAAGTTTGAGGTCGGGTGAGCCCCCGTAGTTGTCGAAATCTTCCTCCGAGGTGAGTGGAAAATCTCCGGCCGACAGGCAGTACTCCGGCAGAGTGTTGAGCGTTTTCCCTCCCAATTGCAGGGCCGCAAATCCATAGCTGTGCCGGTTTTGAATGTTGCAAGGGAACTCGATCTTCCGCAACTGAGGTCTCGCTTGCGTCCCGGCGATGCGAAGTGCATGAAAGAGTTCCTTTCCTACCACGCCGGGGCAGAGAGTGACACTCAGGGAGTCGCAGCCCCGGAGCAGGAAAACTAGCCTCTCCTCAAGGCGCCCAATCGATGCCAGTTTACCTCGCTCCTGTGCGAGGGCGTCTTCCTTCGAGGTCAGGCTTTTGGCTATCGCCTGGAGGGCTTTAGTCGTCTCGTCTGCCGCGGGTGCCTCTGCATCCGTGAAGGCTCCTGCCCGGAAAGCCCTGGTGGCCTGGGCCAGCGCGTCTACCGCATCGGTTCTACCCCCAGCTCCCCCTGCCCCTGCCCCGGGGTTTGGCCTGAATAACGCCTGAGCCGTTGGTCGGTGATCCGGGGCTGGAGCAGCCCACGGACGATCCGGGGCTGGAGCAGCCCACGGACTTGTCCTGCTCGGGTGGTAAGAAGGAGGGCCCGGGTCCGAAGCGGACCACGGGTAGAAACCTCCTCCTGGCTGCCCGTCTGTCGAGGCCTGCGGCTGGGCTAATTCCCAAATGAATTTGCCGGCCTCGGCCGGTAGTTCACTGGTGAGTCGCAAGCAATGCCTCCGTGCCAGTTCCCGGAGACGTCTTTGCTCTCGGAGGAGTCCGGCCGTCCACCGCTGACACCTCGACTGCTGAGTCGTGCCCCTTCCCCTGGAGCCTCGCTTCCATATACGCGAACAGGGCCTGGCTGTCGTCGGGTGCCTCGGGTCTGGAGGTGCTCCTGTCCATCGCGCCCCTTTGCTTGAGAAATATAGCCCTTTTTCGAAGATCTTCATCCGGTATCCCCGCGATCTCCTCCCAGGTCAACCCTGTGAGTACCTGATCCTCGACCGAAGCATCAACTCCAGGAAAGGGGGCAACTGAGGTGGCCCCGTCCAAACGCGGGGGAGAGGAAATCCCTCGGAGTTCTGCTGCCTCCGTTTGCGTTCCGCGCTTGGGTGTGGCATCTTGTGAATGCGGCCGGGCGCGCTCCGCGCCACGGCTGCTCGACCTCTTTCTGGCTTCTTGAGGACCACGTGACCGAGAAGCGAAGTTTCCCGGCTTGGGGGTTGGGCCTCGTTCTTCCTTGCTGGCGTGCAGTCTGCAAAGTTTGACCCCTCCCTTTACGGTCTGGGCGACCTTCCCACAGCCCTCGACCGAGCAAGCTCTTCGGGTTTTCGAAAGGGCGTAGCTCTCTTGGTGGCGGGCGCATAACTGGCAGCTAGCTTGAAGCCCATCCCAATGTAGTTCGCCACTACTACTTTGCATGCCGTCATCGTTGAGAAGCTTGACCCACGAGCACGCGGCGTCTTTGCAGCGCTCTTTGCTGAGCCTTTTCGTCTGCGTGCCCTCTTTCCAGGCAATCGCATCTGCCTGGCATGGGTTGTCTTCTTCCTCCGATTCGGTCTCCGACAAATCGTGGCGCGGAGTGCGCCCTTCTTCCTCACCCGGGCGCGGAGCGCGCCTCGAGTGCTTCGCTCCGCCACAACAGCACCAGGAGGCGATCCAACGCCCACATGCGCGCCCGGTGCCCCCAAAGTCCCGTGACTCCTTGTAGGGCCATGAACTTGGACGCATTGAGAGCCCGACACATGGGTCCCCTGCCCGACAGTTCGTTCAGGTCGACGTCCACGCACTGGGGGACCACACTACTGGCCGTGATATGCAGCTCTGCTGCTTCAGGCGAAGTGCATGGTTCTACCGAGCACAGGTGTACAACACACTGCGCTCGCTCCAAACACCTTCTCCAGTAGCGGTGGGACGCCCCGTGTACACTGTCACACCTGCAAAGGAACCCATGACGGTTGGTGCGTCCCCGTACGGCTCCGTGCCGTAAGCGGGCAACAGCTACCCCGTCGGTTACGAGAAGATCGTACGGGAGCTGTTGTTCACCTCTCCCTCTTACTTGATCTTGAACGTAGGTGACCGACCAGGGATGCTCACCCTGGGGTCCTGTCCATCTAACGTGGTATGGGTTTTCGCCGTGCCCTCTCAGCACGGCTTCCCAGGTTCCTCGGCCCGCCACGTACTGGAGCAGCGCCCCAATGACGACGATGATGGGCCTGACGACCCACGCATAGGTCCAGCAGGTAAGTTGTAGCATACCCAGCAGGATGGTGGTGGTGGCCAGCCAATAGGTCCACCTTGCAGCGAGCCCAATGGAGGCACACAGGGTGCCGCACCAGGTCAGCCCCCCTTCCCATATCTCCCACAATACTCCGGCCAAAATCCGGAAGTACCAGCGTCGGGAATGGGCATCTTCAGCTTGAGGCGTGCTGGCTTTTGGTTCGGTGGAACCTTCCCAGGACCAGTCGAACCACCAGTACGATGCTCCCGGGCTCGGTTCCGATCCACGGGTACTGAAAGGCTCGTGCCCTTCTGTAGGGCACGAACCTGCTCCTTCTTTGTCGCATGTTTGGTTTTCGCTACCCACTGCGAAAGGCCATAGCCCCCCGAGCGGGCGCACCAGTGCGCCGATCAACAGCAGGGCGACTCTCATTGTCACCCTTGAGCCGAGAGCCTACGGAGGTGAAACACTACGCACGCAGCGCTAAGCTACCACATTGTCACACACGGAGGTGGTTTCGTGTCAACCTGCAAAATGCAATATAGCACTCACAGAACCTGGCGGGAGCTCCGGAAGAAGTGTGTTCAAGGGCACATCTCTGCCGACGTAGTCCTGTCTTGCATTGCAGCAACATGGGAACTTGCACTCTGTACACTGGGCTCCTGCACTGCAGTCGGTACCGACGAGGCCTCCAACGTCTCCTTCCGGTGTCCACGGATGTCCACGGCATCCCCCCAAAATCCCGCGAGATCTGCAAAGCAAACCCCCGCCGCTTTTCTCTCCTGGGCGACCCCCCGGTGAACAAAGATGTCGTGGAGCCTGACCAAGTCTGCATCAGCGTGCTGCTCAACAGCTCAACATGCTCAGACTCTCAGTCTCAGATGCCCCGGTTGCACCATGAGGTAGTCCCGGCAAGAACATGCAGGCATCGCTCCACCGACTATCAGTTTCCCTTGCACTGAAATACCTCTCGATCAGAATCATCCGTTCGTAATCTTTCTGTCGGTCGGGCTGCTCCCAACGCAATCACACAAATCGGAGCGTGCTCTCCTAAGCCCAGCGGTGCTTCACATAGTTTGTTAGATCATCATTGCACCCGTGGCTGCACAGTTCAGTTCTCTACGCACGGCATTCGATCATTCGCATGTCATACAAAAAGGGGGTTTTATTTTGGGATCTGGGCGCAGCAGCGAGCCCTGTCTCTCTTAGTTGTCTGGCTCTGCTATGGACTGGCCGCTCCATTTCATGCTGGCTTATCGACTTCAACTCTGGATATGGTGTTTGCCGCTGCTGAATTTTGCTCTCACGGGCCGCTAGGGGGTCGGCGTATGTCACCCCCTCGCTGCTACAATCGCTACAACATTTTCTGCGACGCTCCACTGAAGCTGGCTGTGACTCGAATCATCGCTGCCGCGTTCCACTTGCAATAGGGATACCACTTAGATTATGGACTCTCTGCCAAGTACGCTTCTGATTTATGGTATTGATGACGAGTTTTCGTGATGATTAGCGTGCGGCTGACAAATCAACGTGCTCACGGGTCATCTCCTTTCTGATGCCACTTTGAAGCGGCTAGTAGTCTTGCTGCTGTGGGAGACGATTCCCGGATCGGAACTTGCGCGTTCGGAACAAGAAACAGGTCCTTTCTGGCATCGACCTCGGTGCCTTGTGCGTGGACACGGTGCATTCATTTGTCCCAGCTGGAGACTTGCGGAAAGCATGACGGACAACAAGGCGGGTGTGTCTATTCATGTCGCGGCACTGAGACGGGGGCCCTGCAGGTGCAAGAATTTGCAAGGTCTCTTGGATGTGCAGCGCGAGGTGTGCTCTGGACATTCCAAAACCCAGGCCTCTTGAGCTCGGTTTCGCGGTGTAGGCGCATCAGCCGGAGGAACCTGAGCATCACCGGCCGAATTCCTAGTGCGTAAAAAACTGGTCGAGAGGTAGCCAAAATGGGGCCTTGACTCATTGCAGTCGAGGGTTCCGTTTCGGTTGACATCAACCTGTAGATCGTCCGAGCATTTTGCGAGCGAAACGAGTCTTTTTCGCGACAACTGAGCAGTCAGCCTGAGCAAGCAAAATGTAGAGATGGTCGGTTCCTCCGCAAAGCATGCGTGACAAGAAGAAAGAAGGAAAGAAGAAGCAAATGGACAGCGTGGTCCTACGCTGAAGCCCAGAAACCGCAGCATGTCTCCCAGCTCATGCACGTTGATATTGTCAGACCTTCGGGCAGGCTCGCTTAGAAAGCTTTTGCTAGATCGAGACGTGGGTCGCTGATAAGCTGGTTGCTCATCACGATCGAACTTTCGAAACACATCCGCATATTCCGTAAGCTCCTCATGAGGGAATCGCTGTTGAAAGAAACCTGAAAGCTGTGCAAAGACTGCGCTTCCTTCTGGCTGAAGCCGTCGCGCTGCTTGAAGAGCAGCATGAAGTGGAAGAACTCCTGAGCCGGAACGGACAGCACCTTGATGGGCTTGCGGTACACGGCCACTCCTCGAAGTCGAGTTCCGCATCGTGCTCAAAGTCGACCTGTGCTTGGCGCTTCCGTGCCTTGCTCCAAAGCAACTGACTCGGTCGGCCTCTTCCAGCACCTCGCCGATCACTTGCCGCATAGGCCGATAGCCCAAAGCCTGCCTCGAGCACACGCAACAAGCACGAAGGGCATCCTCGCTCCAGGCGTGAAGTACAGGAGTGGAAACACTCCCAAGATCGCAAAAACGATTCTGTTTTCGTAGAGCAGCGCAATAGATATCCTGTAGTTGCTTGTCTTTCGGGTCTCACAGCTCCTTCTTGCTACTGTCATGCCCTCGCCACTTTTACTTTGCCCTTGACCCCTTCGTGTTGACTTGCGCAGCTAGCGATCTTGCAAGCAGATCCTGCGTGCCGTTCCGTGAAGAAGTGTGGCTGTGGGCAATAGAAGGAAGAGGAGCTCAGTGTTCTCGCAACCGGAGATGCAGCAGTGAGTCCTGACAATGAGCAAGGTGGAGTGTTTGGCGCATACTGCTCATACGAGACCCGGACGTAACGTCTCCTTCATTTTTTGTCAACCCTGTTGCATGCCATGTTGTGTTTGAACACCTGGTCGCTTCTTGTTTATCAGCTTGGCCTTCCTTCTGGAATACTGGCCTTACTATTACCAAATATTACCATTATCAGTTTGCTTGCGATAGTGTTGTGATTTTGTGTTTCAGCGGTGTTCATCTTATCTTCTTTCCATTGACGCAACTGTCACTGCTGCTGCTCATGCGTATGTCCATCATTCTTGGTGTTCGTCTTGTCCGTCGCCTTCTTTGTTGGTGCTCTTACTGTTCATGGATGGCTACCTACACTTTTTATTCTCATTTGTTTTGTCATCTGTGATTTCGCATCTGCTACTTACGATGACTTTCCTGTTCCTTATTGGTCAATGTGCGTTGCTTCTCAATTTTTGCATTTTGGATATCCGTTCATTTTATTTCATGTATACACTTCGTATGTGCTAGGTAACTCCCTCCCCCACTTATCTACCCGTTCAGCGTTCTCTAGCGCATCTATACGATTCGGTGGCTTATAGCAAGGAGCAGGGTAGGCAGCCCGTAGTTCGTGCATCTGTATGCGTGTCAAGCTTATCCTGGCAAGTCACACACGAAGTAAGGCCAGCGCCCGTTTCACTGTCAACTAACAAAAGAAGCGGGCCCCTGTTTGGTTTGTGAACCCATGACTCCTGTGTGAGTTTTTCGGTTAAGGTTGTAGACACTCACTTTGCAGCTTGTAGGGCTGCATGGTTCACTCTCGGATTTAAGGTTTCATACTTCAGTGTGCGGGTTCGTGTTGAAGCCGTCAGTCAAGGATTCAGGTTGAAGGATTCTTCTCAATGGCTGATTTGTGAAGTCGTCCAAAGCGCTACCCTATGCATCCTTGAATCTAAGCACACGATTGTGAAATTCAAACGGGCCTTGCAAAAAAAAACTGTACCATGGTATGGTACGGCTTAGAGTTGCGGGGCGCAGGGTGGGGCGAGAGAAGTTTGCCGGAGGATCGTTGAGCCCCCGCTTGTCAGGACGGCGAGACGTTTGAAACCCGACGTCCTTCGCAAGCACCTACATCTTCTGACTTAGTTGGGTTGCGGGTTAGAGCCATGCGCTTTCTTGTTTTCTCGTCCTCCTCATAAATGCAGTACGTAACGTTGCAGACATGAGGGGAGATACCCTACCTCACCCAGGGAGACCGTCTGCATGAACGTCTAAACTAGACTGGAACAACTTAACAGAATTAGTTTGAAAAACTCTCGGGCGGGTTCCTTGAAGGGATTCTGGGGTTTTGTCGGCTTTTGGTACAGGGGCTTGAATATCTAGAGTACATGTTATACTAGAAAAATACAGCCGCCACAACGGAATGTTGGTACTTCGTATTCAGACCTAGACGACTTTCCTTCAGGCATTGGAAAGTCGGCGAATTTGAACTCAGTTCATTGGTCTGATGACAATTCTTCTGCTGGTTCCGTTGCCGAGAGTGTTCACCCATCGCCCCTTCCTTATTGCTTGTCTTCATTTCCTGGTGATGCTAACTCACACCGTGAGGCTCTCGAAACACGGCTAAACACGTCTACAAGGACGACTCCCGTCCATCAACTTGCAGTTGCGGCTCTTTGCTACTACATCTGGCTGCAGTGCCTTGACCATTAAGGTTTGACATGGCAGCTTGGAACGTGGAGGTGAAGCTTCCCACAAACCGCTGCGCTGCTACCAGTGTGGACGAAAATTCCGGAGCAGTTCCACAACACCCTGGCACATGCTCAGATTCGAGCAAGACATCTCGAAGCTCTGTAGCACTGATGTTGCCGCTGCTGTCCTGCGTGCATGTCTGCGGGTGAACTGGATCAGTGCAACTGGCTCCCGTGCCTGGTCAAATCGTTTGAAATGCCTCTTGTATTCAGCCTGACCATCATCGGCAGCACGACAACACGACCCTACGAGAAGTCAACCACCTCCCGGACCTGCTCAGCAATTCGCAAACCTCTGGCGAAGATCAGAAACTCATGGAACGAAAGACCTCAGATTTGCTGCAATGGTGCACAGGACTGCATGAACGTGCTGGATGTTGCCATCGCATTAGGGAAGCAGCAGAGACTTTGCTTGCCATGCAAAAAACACTGCACAGTTATCTCAGAGGACCAAACAGACACCAACGAACACACGCGACAAGAATAAGGGACCGCAACCGGTTTCCTCGCACATGGGCTGGCCTCGATACTTCTATTGCATGCAGTCAGAGCATGCGGGATGAGTAGTTCACCGGGGTATGGGATGGTACGAGTACACGTGCAGCCTGGCAGGATGTCGAGGCATGACTGGCGCCGTGTACCATGTACTGCGGCCAATTCTCCCCGTCGATGCTAGCTCAACGACCGCCCGTTCTTCTTGGGCTGTGGCCTTCGTTTGCCCCAAACTGCCTGCACATGGCAATACCCAGCTGAAACTAGATGCAGCCGTGTGTATGTATTCATGTGTATAGCTGAGAGAGTTAAAGAGTCACAGAGGGGGAGCGATACAAAGTGAAAAGAAGGGGAAACGGTGGGAGGAAGGGAGGGAGGCAGAGGGTCAGAGAACTGGAGTGAACTGCAGGCCCGTGCCTCTTCTGACCGTTGGCATTGTTGCAAAGCTTGTGTGCAATGCCTTTCAACACAGCTCTTGAAAGTATTTTCTCCTGGTCCCGAGGTGAGATACCCGCTGCCAAGCAGGTTGCTCATATCTACCTCGTTGACTGCGCTTAGCGCCCCACGCACGGCGTGGCTCTCGGAGTGGAGGCCGAAGACCGCGACCTGAGGAGGGCGAAAGCACTGGGAAAGCAGGGGGACCTCATGGAGCGATGCTGCTATGCCCTGCTATGCTCAATGTTCCACGCTGTGTCCCGAGCCAGTGCATCCTTGAGGTCGTCAATCTGTAATTGCTGCCTCGGCTTCGCTGTTCCGGCCAAGGCATCTTCGCACCCTGCCGAACCCGAGATTCCAGCCCCCGCTTCAGCTTGACGGACTCTGCGACGAAGCCGGAATAAATGTCCCACATGCGCTTCACCTGTTTAAGTCTTGATGTCTGAATGTAGATACAGGGCCCTTCAAAGTCCACGAAAAGCATCGACCTCCTCCTTTGTGAAGCCTTCGGTGTGCTGGTAGACCTGTAGCACTGCAACTCGACAAGAAGTGGGGCATACGGATACCCTGAAAATGCAAAAGCCCCTGTGCACTCTTCACACAGCGGTCAAGAATCCATGAGCCACGGGCAGTCAGAAAATAAATGAATTCTTCGAAGTTCCTGGATGCAGCTGTCGAGGAGTGTGTGCATGTACAATCTAGCAGTATCCGACTCAATTGCATGAAGTCCACGCTTACGATCCGAGCGACAGCTGACCATTCCCATCATCATCGACCACTTCCAATGCCTTTGTCAAGCTTTGATGGTATGGTTTGCTGCAGTGGTCAATTACAGAAACATGGCTGACATGTGTGAAGTTGGTCTCGCCTTGTTAGTCTGTTCTGAACAACCGCTCGTGGATGACAACATCACCGCTACGATATGTATCTGCTTCCTATCCAATCTCCTCCTCAATCATCTGGCGCACAACCACGATGCCGATGCTGAGAAGCAACCTAAACTGATCAGCTGCTTCAAGCGAACTGATGGAAGGTATATTTGTGTGCTCGCCTGACCAGAAACCAGGCACCAGACTTTCTCAGCTCTGAAATCTCGATTTCTCCGCTGCCTATCAGTTCCCCACAGTTTGCCACGGTTCGACATCTCTTTCTCTCAGACTCGGGAGCAGGCCATCACAATCAAACCTGTCGAAAACGACTTGATACAGATCAAACTGGGCTCGGCTGTACCTGACCGACGATGTGCGCGACATGACAAACCCTAAGAGTATACAGACCCTGCTGGCATGAACCCGACGGCCAGGTCCGTTCATGAGTCAACTGCACATGCTGAAAGCACTTCTCTACGAACTCCAGGAACTCATTGAAGTCCATCTCCTTAAAGGACCTGGCGTTTGCAAGACCACTCTACCCGACTCGAAGGCTACACGTAAAACTGCTCGAACCAGCTCGATCTCAGGATGGGACGTAACCTGTCCGGCAACTTGGTTAAGCTCCTCTTCGGAAGTGACCTGGTTGTGCGTCGTGCACACGGTGTGTGGTGTGTGTATGCGATTTAGTGAACACGAATCAAAACAAGGGCATCAAGCGCAGTCCACCTGCATCTTTTGATGAAGCTTCGGTGCAGAATAGAGGTCCCATCAAGCACCCAAAATTCCGAGCAGCGTGCTAACATATCATCACAGCATTCTTTGGGGGGATGGGTGAACAAAAAAGGACCTGAGCCCGCGATCTGGGTCGAAAGACATGTCCGAAATTTTCCGGTGCGATTTCAACAGGGAGGATATAGTCGATGTGTAACGGATGCGTATGCAAACATCTGGGACCTCCACAACAGAGGCAGATTGGCCCGACGGAGCGTTTCATTCCCGTTGCGTCAAAAGACTTACCACCAGGGCCGACAGCCCCTTCTAAACCACGGCCCCGTGCAGCAATGTGCCCTGCGTGGGACCAGAATCCAGCGTCCCCTCACATTGCAAACTGGAAGTCTGGATCCGCCAGCCATGAGCTGACTGGGTCTGGCTTCTTCGACAAATTGCAGCCAGAACATGCTGGGATTCCTGAAGATTTGGAGGTGTCGGAGAGCCGACACAAACCGAGAAGGCCTCGAAATCTCAGCGTCGGACGACGTAGCCCAAGAACTCCATGGCGTGCGGCAGGTCATCCTTGCAAGCAAAACGGCTGTTCAAACCTTCAGCCTGCTGCCGCGCACTCTACGAGTACCAAGGTCCTGCAAAATCTCATTGCCGGTGGAGTTGCGAAAGCGATTGAAGACCATCCTCATACGCTGCACTGTTGCCTCGCATGCATTGCCGCATCGCGACAGACGGCAAGGGGGATTGAATCGGATTCCAAAAGGACCTCGTCCATCATGTCTGCCTTGCCGAAGTACGTGTTTTGAATCTGCTCCAGACCTGTGAAGAAACCAGAAACCCGTCGGTCACCCGTCGGTGAAACAAAAGCACCGGGCGATCTTGGAGGTTTGGCAGACCGTAAGAGGCATCATCGCGTCCCTTATGTGATTCACAGTCGCAGGGATGCAATGCATCTATGTTCAAGGCGACGGCATCACACACACACACACACACCGTGACTGCCCGACGCTTGCTTAGGTTCCTGCGAGCGTTTTCCACTTCGTGGAAAACTGTTGCGTGAGCTTCTTCCCTGACGGCGGTTCGATGAGAACAAAACAAAAGCACACGAACAGCAGTCTTGACAGGCAACTACATAAGCACCCCATGGTGTCCTTGCTTCGACACGGGTCGTCTTGATTTCGGGGAAGGCGCCGTTGATCCTCAGAACACGGGTATGATATCAAACAGGAGTCTGTCGAGTAAGATGCAAACTGGCCAGGCCTGTGGCATCTTCAGCTGCCGGCCTTCCAAAAGCCAGGTCCGGCTCCCAGCGAAGATTCCGATTGGGGCCTTGCGCCTTGCCTGATCGATCTCTTGTCCATCCCAGAATTAGCAGGCTCCTTGGTCTTCATGCTTGGCTTCTCGTCTCAATTCACTTGAAGCCACAGGTTTGAGCCAGGGGACGCCAGCTGCTTCGGTGTCAGCCTCACCCCAGAGAATGCACAAGCTGGAGACAATCGATTGGCTGGAGATGCCAGACTGGCCTGGTTCATTTCTTCCAGCTGCTTCTTGCGTAATTCTGCGGCACTCTTTGTCGCCTCATCTGCCTTTGCAAGGTGCACAGTTTTGCCAAGCATGGACAGCGATAGCCGACCCAAATGCTCTGCATTGCTCTGCCTCCGGCACGCTTGCCAGGGTGCTCCGGCACCACGCTTCCAGTTGAATCTGTGCCTCTTCGGCAACCTCCTAGAGCAACAAATGCAGTCAGACTCCACAAATCAGATGAACCTGTGACTCCTTGCCTTCTTCTTGCCCTTTTGTTTCGACCGGGGCTGCTTCTTGTTGCGCCCAAGCCCCTGTGCAAAGGGAAGACTCATCAGACACAAAATAGAACACAAAAAAAGTTGTGGAATCGCTGGAAAAGCAAAGCAAAGGAGCGCCTGCCCGGTCTTCTGGCCTCATGGCAGCCGTGGGAAACGAATTCACATCCCTCCAACTCACTTGAATGCCCCGCAGCAGTCGTGTGCTGCTGCGGCAATTCGGCCCTTATAGGTGGTCCTTGATCGGATAAAGCAGACTAGCTGACTGGCTGTCGCCTGCTCATACTTGCACCTGCATTTGAGGCGGTTTCCGGACAGTCAACAAAGTATGCCCTTCTCAGCCCATGGTCTTGGCCTTGGTGCTTTTTGGCATGCAGCATGGCATGCAGGTGCATGTCTGCGCGTGCATGTCTGCGGGTGCGGGTGACAGTCGTACCCTCGGCGATGACGAGGCGGGCAGATGTTGGCTTTGAGCCGTGTTTGGCAAGTCCTTACGGACAGCTCTGCTTCGAGATGCTTTGTGCCTCGTGCTTTCAACTCTCCGCTCAGCGCCAAGGCTAGGGCGCTCTTCACTACGTGTACGGACCCACACGACGAGCATCTCAACCCTCCACATCAGAGGTGGAGGGCCATCATCCAATCATTCACGTTTCAACTCTTTTAGCTGTCTTCGGCTGCGTGGGAAACCATGGTTCCCAATTCCGGCCGCGGCAGCGATCATGAAATGGCTTTTGGTGTTGCCTTCGTCGGTGCAATGGGGCACTTCTTAGTCGGATACCCAGTTTCATGGTTCATCACGCTTCCTGTCGCGTCCACTTTGTCTAGAATCTTCTCGGGAAAACGAGTTGACGCTGCAACATGGCAGACAAGGATTCTGGACACTGCTTCTCGAACAGATGTTCCGGGATTGGCCTTGCGCATGTCACAGTAAGACAGTCAAAAGGGGTATTTCTTGCTTGGCACCAACCCAAACCGCTGAAACTCGAGACATCCGCGAGCAAGCTGGTGCTTCCCCAAATAATCTGCTATCGCGGCTTCTTCGAGCATCTGAGTCGTCTCCATTAGAGTTGCCATCTACGGGCTTCACAAACAGATTCTTTACTCAAACTCTTCACAAAAGAAGCATTCAACCCAGGGATCGATGCTCTCCTTGCTGATGCTGATCGGGCCAGCAAGATATCACGCGCAGCGCCAAACGACTCCGGACTCTGGCGCCCGCAATGTTCGTGGCATGTTTCCTGTTCGCCGACTGTTACCCGTTTCATTGAGGATGCTGCCGGAGCCTTTGCCATCGACGCACTCATCCTGCCTGGTACGCCCCATGCAAAAGCGACGCCATAACTTCAACAGGATATCCATTCCCGCACTGCCTCTGCTCCGAAAGCTGCAGGCCTCGGCTGCATGCGCTGTCAACTCAGCAGCCTTGTCGATCAGCTAATCCGTTCGGAGCCGAACAAATCTCCTGCGCTGCTCGGGTAATCTGCAGAAGGGCAGACTTTTCCTGCAAGCCAATGCTAAACATGACATTTCATTTCGCTTTTCGAGAGACGCGAGCCGATGCAAGCCGACCTTGAAGGAATCTCTCCTGCGCGGTTCCTGCATCTTGCAATTTCTGCATCATGAGCCCGCTGCATCACTCGGCCGTGCCTGAAGCGCCCTGCCAAAACCTCAAGTGATTACAGTCGTGCAGGGGCGCATGAAAACGTAAAGCCTGCAAGCGAGCGACGCGAAGCGCTCCCGCTGCTTGTACCCAGGTCCTGCAATTCAGTCCGGCTGCCACGCATCCAACCCATGTGACCCGAAAGATTCCTACATATATTCTGCTGTACGTCTTGTGTATTGTGCGGCAGAACCTCGGCAGTGAACATTGTCGATCTGGCGGAATGGTTTCCATGTCAGTGCACGACATGCCCCACAATGTACCCACCACAACAAAGCTGCATGATGCTGCAGGGTGTGTTCTGCAACGTCTGCAACCCAAGTGACCGCAAACTTCCACTGCAAGCCAAAGAACATGCAACAAATCAAGAATCGACTCACACGCAAGCTTCTCCAAGGCCAGCGATTGAGCTGATACAGCTGCAAGCACTTGTTTCCAGCATTCGCCGGACCTTGCCCCCCGTCCAAGCCCTGAAACCTGACAGGTGCGCAAGCTCTTGTAAAGCTTTGAGTGGGATGATAGTTTTGACAAGTCTCAGTGAACCCAGGACTGCAAAAGCTATACTTAACACCTCAAAACCGCAGCAAAATCTCAGTATACCGCCATCCCTCATGTCTCGCATGCGAGATCGAGCTCCTTCGCTATTGTCGTGGCACATGGTCTCGGACCAGGCTGTGGTCGGCATAACACAGTTAGGCATCAACCGGATCATCTGCCCCAAACTGCAACATCACGGTCATCAGCCGGTGTAGGTGGCACAACATCGTTCACAGGATTCCTCCTGCCCCGGTTTGGTCAGAGACTCCCGGAATTCAGTAAGCTAGAACATACCGTGCCTACTAGGCTATTGGCCCCGGACATAGACCCCCACATCCCCCACACACCAAAACCCCATTCTCCACGCATTTTTGCAACTACACTCTCCAACAGCATACCACTTCATCCCCCGCAGCCCCGAATCACAAAAAAATTTTCTCAACGGGCATACCATGAATTGTCCCTGGGTTTTCCAACTTTTAAGCCCTCTTGTTCGCGTTTTCAACCAGTCAACCACTCGCCCCCAAGCGTCCAAACCGTCAGCATCCCATTTTTGAACGAGCATACCAACAGCGACGGCACAGGGTCGACGGCTGGATCCCCTCGGACCCTGCCAACCATGTCGCCGAGGGTGTCTCGCCCGGTGGAACCACCGGGGACACTGAAGGCGCCGGCAAGGACGATGCCAAAGCTGGCGGCAGAGCTCGTCGGCGGCTATGTCCCGGCGAAAGAAAGCGGAGTCGACGCCCGGCTGGACGAGGATTAAAGTCCGCCACAGACAACGCCCCCAAGGCGGCGGCCAACAGCTCGTCGTTGGCGTCGGAAAGTTGGCGATGAAAATGTGGGCCTCCGTCTGAGTGCCCACATTGGCGTGGCCCGACGGCGGCGTGAGGCCAGCCGTCGTCTCGGCTTCGCCGAGAAAGGTGGGCGCCACAATCTCTTCCTCTTCTGGGCGGCGTCCTCTGCCTCAGTCACCAAGGGCGAGGCCGTAGGCGCCGAGGTCGTAGAAGGCCCCGGTGCCGGCGAAGCCGCGCCAGCCGCCCAGTCGAGGCCCGCGGCCGCAGGAAATCGGCGGCCTGTGCCTCAGCGGCTGCCTTTGCGGCAGCTTTGGCGGCGGCAGACGAGCCAGTCGACATGACCAGAGGGCGGCGAGGCGAAAAAGACGGGAGGAAGACGAAAAAGGCGATCGGGCCGAGATGTTATCCGGCCGATCGCTGGCGCTTGTTCCTAATTACTCACACGCGTGTGCTACACAACACTCTTTCACTAACTCTTTCTTTCCCTCTTTCACTATCTCTCTCTTGCTTGCAGTCGCACCACCCCGCGCGCGGGCGCGCCCCGAAGTCCTTTAGTCTGTTCACGGCTCCCTTCAGAATGAGGCCCGCGGTCTGCACTGGAAACCCCTTACTAGAACCTATTGGACCCCCGCGCCTCTTCTGTCAGTCCCCCATTTTAGGGGCGGAGCTATCTCTCTCTTTCTTTCTTTCTGCAGGGCTTAAGGGTCGCGCGAGCGCCCCCAGGCCTTCGGCCCGCCCAGCCACACCCTGTGTTTATGGAGTGGCTGGTAAAGGGGTCTTTCCAGATTGGGCAACGAATCACCCAGTTTGTTCAGGGTTTTTGCGCAAAAGAGCCCCCCCGAACACTAAACGCCAAAACAACCCCGGCCTCGTCTCCGCGCCCCTATGGCTGGAAGTCCTTAGCCCTTAGTAGGTTCGAGGGGGCATGAAAAAAGCCGGATGAATTGATCCCCCCTTGCTCTCACACAGCAAGGGTGGCTGTCGAATTATTGTAGGAGGGCGGATCGGACTTCGTCAGGCGACGGTAGTGCAGCGAATTGTGCAAAGGCGGAAAGAGTTCGCCAAATCATGGCAGGGTTCTGCAGAGCAGCCTACATGGACAGGTATGTTACAGAGAAAACGTGCCAACATAGCAACGGAAACACCAAAACGCACCCCCGAAACCCGAAACCGAAACACAACACCCCACAGCATCAGCGTCTCTCCTCTCCCCTCTGGTACTGGGCACAGTCACGCAGGTCCCCCTCTTTTGGAGAACGCAAGCTGCGTCACTTGTTCGAAAAGAAGTGGAAAATTCCCCTCGCTCATTGCTTGTAGTTCACGGTGCGCCTCTCATGTGTGCCTGGACCCGCCGTATCGCCTCCCACATCGGGCCTGGCTGGAGTCTCACTGTCCTCCGCGGGCTGCGGCTTGGGGTCCTTGGTCGTTCCCCTCCAGCCGAGGAGCTGGCTTCTCCCCCGGCTGGTTCATGAGTGGGTCGAGGCGTCCTCCTCCATGGTGGTTCGCCTGCAGGTTCGTTCGGCTTGTGCCACCCCGGAACCTGGGGCAGCTTGCTGGAGCTTTCCGCCCCCTCGTCGGTGCTGCTGTCCTCGTCGTCCGTATTCCCCCAGTCCACTTCATCACTGAACTCGGGTTGTGGTGGTACTTGGTCTCGCGGCTGCTGTGGTGGAGCTCGGTCTTGTGCTGCATCTGTGGCCTTTGCCGTGGTGCTCGAGGCATGGCTTGACGCGCACTCCTTTTCCGCATCCCCCGGCTTGCTGCTCGGACTCTTGTTCGTCCTCCCCTCCTCTTTCGCAGTCTTTGGGTCCTCTGGTTGCTTCGGCCGTCTCTTTCTGGCTGGTCTTGTTGCTGTACTCCCCCGTGGCGAAGCTTTCTTGTGCCGTGCCCTGATCGCACGGCGTATGCGGCGGGCTTGGCGCAGCAGGCTTTTGATCGCCCCTGGAAAGCGGATCATGTAGGCACGCGTTTCTTGGGCGACCTCCGGGAGGTACTTGTCTGCTATCTTCGCCAGCTTGTCTGCTTGCTGGCTGTGCGGCATCTGGCTTGGTGCCTCTTGTAGAACTGGTCGTACTCATCGTTCTCCCCTCGTGTTAGGGGTTGCCCGGAAGGGCTGTGGCACCATCCCCCACCATCTGGGTTTCGACCACTTCTTGCTTCGTCCATTTGTCCAGCGGTCCTGGAAGGTAATGCAGGGCAATCCCCCCAGGAGTCATGTAGGCCGTCATGTGCTCGAAGGGTACCTGTGTACGTCTGCCGCTTCCCCCGTCGCTCTGCTGTGACTGGCTTGTTGTGGTTCTGTCGTGGGACAACACGAGACGCGTGTTCCCCAAAGCTTCCGATCCGAAGAAACGGCATTGAGAGTCGGATCGCTCATGCACCTTACGCATGCCTGGACGACAGATCCCTCCCCCTTCTCTGCAGATTCTGCAGATCTTCTTGCCTCCTCCCCCACGCTTTTCCATGATCTTCACTATCTTCTCGGCCTTGCCACAGTCACGATCTTCCAGTTGAAGCAGTCCCCCGCCCAACGTAGAGGAAGTGCTTGCGAAACTTGGTGGAGGCGTCCCCACAGTCGTTGGTGCAGTTGGCGTCCCCCTCCGACACTAGAGCGTCCAAGAAGAAGGTCTTGCAGTCACCAGCTTATCGTCGTGCGGAAAGTGTCACGATCGTGCCGTTGTCCTTTATGGCTCGCGCCCCCTAGCGGCACTCGCTTAAGCAACACAGCGTCGGATATGCGACTCAAGCACGGCGTGGGGAAAGTGCGCAGGCTCCCCCAAGGTGGACAGCCTTGGGTTAACCCCGCACCTCCCCCCCGATGCAAAGGCGGCACAGGCCTCTAAGCAAAGGTGCAGTACTTGAGCCAAAATGGCTAGCTATCTCTCTCTCTCTCTACCGGGCTTGGGGGCACAGCGGCGTCCTGGCTGAGACCCCCGTGCGAGTTCGCACACTCGCAGTTCGCGGGGTTTCGTAGTTCCCCGAAAAGGTTCTTCCCTTTCAGGGCTCGGCTTTACAGAACTGTGGGGGTGTCCGAGGCTCCCCCGCAAGAAAACAACAAGATCACAGGCTACCCAAGTGTAGAAAGCCCTAGTTATCTCTCTCTCTCTCTCTCTCTCTCTCTTTATCTTTCTCTCTCTCTGTTTCGTCATCTCTATCCCTATCTATATATCTTCTTCCCCGGGGCATGAGGGGAGTGCGAGACCCCTCGGCCTTAAAGGCCCCCCCGATGTTTGTGGGGCTTTTGGAGGGGTGTGAAAACTGTGATGGCATTCCCTCGGCATACTCTAGGCTGCCTTTGTAAAATAACAACCCGTATCATTTGCGCCGAGTTCATGCATCATTCTATATATATATATATATATATATATCTCTCTCTCTCTCTCTCTCTCTCCGTCTCTGTCTCTCGCTCTGTCTCTCAGAGCGGCAGCCATGCCTCGGTGATTCTGCATTGGCTTGCCACAGGTTTTCTGATGATAGATGATGCTCGCAAATTTTTGCCCTCCCGACGGATTCAAAAAAGAACAGCGAAATTCTCAAGCCATGCCCTCCAGCGGTCCACATCGCCCGAACAAGATTGGGAATCGAACATCCAGGCAGTCCTGGGTATTCTCCAGGCTAGAGAGAGCAAGCCTCGGTCTCCAGTGAACTGCTGAAGGCAATGGCTGAAATGATGCAGTGGACGCAATGCACGGCTCCAACAGAGCCAAGGCCCCGTCTTCTCCAGAATCTGATTCCGAGCCTCGGAAGGATCGCTTGGCCTGTTTGGCTCCTTGCGCAACTGTGCTGCAAATCTTGGATCTGGGCCGTCCGTCGCTTCGGCAACATTGCTTCCGACGCGGATCTGCTCATCCCAAACCTGCGCAGCAACCAAACGAAACCCAGTGAGACTGAAGGCATCAGCCCAGCACCTCGCTAGAGATTTCGAAGAGAATGGAAGCGCTGACATCGACTGGCCTGAGATATGGGTCCTACTTCCACTATGGCCCCAACCAGCGCGATCGAGACTTAAACTCAGAGCAACGCTTGCAGTCGCTGCGGCCAGAACAAGAGCCTCTGTGTCAGACAGCTTGCTGTCTGGCCTCAAGTCTTTCAGGAGCGACAGATAAGATTTTCGAAGGTCTTTTCAGGAGCAGACAGGATTGGCAGCTTCAGCACAGAGGATGTCATCGCCATTCCTGCATTGAAGACTGCCCTGGCTTCTGCTGCCATATGGATCGGATTGAACGAGAATCACTGCCTGGCACGGACCTGTGGACATCTGAGGTGCTGTTCCTAAGTGGCCGCAATGCTGCTCTTTTTGACACATTGCCGCCATCACAAATTCACCCGAGGTGAAGAACAGCCATATACCTGAACTCTGCTGTTTTACCCATGCTCGGCCACTTGCGCCGACTAACGAAATGTTGCTACCAAGAGCTTCAGCATTAGCCGATTACCAGGGATATCGATTGACCTCTTCCCTCGCACGAATCTGATGCAGGCACCTGAAGTGAGAAAGCTACGAAGGAAGTTAGATGCACTCTTGCAACTATAGGAGTTATGTTAAAATCACTCGAAATTTGCACAGTCTCGGAAGCAATGCGTTGCTTGCACATTCAACCGCAGAAACTGGTCTTCCGAATCCAAGCAAGAATTCAACTAACAAACCTGAGCAACACTAACATGGCGGCTGCTAACTCTGCGCCGCAGAACAAACCATTCCGACATGATTGGCACCGGCTCTGGACGAGCGCTTTCCTACAATCTCGTCATAGCCGAAGGGACTGACGTGAAAGACATGAAGGTAACAAGAGAACCTACATACTTTCATAATATTGAAATGCTGACATGTAGTGGGAATGCCGCAAAGGCGCAGCACACCACGCTGAGCTTCGAGGTCGGGAAGCAGCGGGACCTGCTTTGAACAAGAACAGCTGCATTGGTGCAAAGCTTGCTCGCGTGCTCCTTTACGGTAGATTTCCAACCTTGGAACTTCTGCCCGTGTGGCTGTCGCTGTGCTGACCTGCCGAACAAGCCAGAGCATGTCTCAAACAAAAATCTCGCGAAGATGGCACGTTCGGTCGTCAAATGTATCAAATGCGTCTCATATGCATCTGTGGCGAAATGCGGACTGAAACTCGTGGCCTGTCTTGACGCGCGTGCTTCTCACCTCCCATGCTACGCAGATGCACAAGCTCCCTTGGCGGCACAAGCAGCTACCTTGTAGGCGAACAACAGCTTTCTGCGCCTGTCGAGGCAGAGCTGCTGCAGGTGTCTTCCGAGATCGTTCAGCTTGCCCAAGTCGACATTAGGAGCGACTTTCGACTCAGTCCCAGGCTGGTCCATCACTGCAGTGAAGATTACATTCTAATCAACGGCTCAAAGTCAATCGAGACTTTACGGTCAATGTCATAGGAACGTCGAACGCTACGGCTGTAGCTCATTGAATCCCAGCTTGCATGATTTTGACCGAAGCTAGTTATGGCACAGGCAGTTGACGACAGATATGCGGGCATGTTCATCTGCTCATGCCATCCATTGCCATCCCCCTCGTGCACTCATCCGGCCCTGCCCTTGAGCCTGCAGGCGAACTCAAAAGAAAGCTGAAACCTCGTGCATCTTCGCTAGACACGGTACACTGCATGCACTTCTGCACGATGCGTCACACCCGACGTCTCAAATGAATGCTTGCTGTCGTTCAGAAGACATCCGGCATTCCCATGTTAAAGGCTCCTCTAGCTGGCCACATCAGGCATCATTGCCGAGCTACCGTATAGGCGTACGAAGCACGCTCGAAAGGGACAGAAAGACACAACAAACATAAAGCCTGCAACAGGCGCGTGCTCTCGATGCTAACTTTGGCGGACCTATACCTGGCTCTCAACTATCCGTTTTCTGCGATGTTCCAGTCATGCACACAAGGTACTGGTTGGATTGACGGGGCGTTTTTAGTTCCACCATTGCCTAGGTCAAGCTGATCTGAACCACATGGTCTCGTAGAGGCTTTCTGAGGATCACTGGGCAGAGCACAGAACTTCCGTCGAAACGGGGCGCAGGGAATTCCTCTATGGCTCGCTACTGTTGCAGCCATGTCATGAGTGATTATGTTTGATAGCTGGCGACTATGGCTGCACACGACACTACACTTTCTGATGTGCACTTCGCGTCTCTTCCTGCAACGGAGTCGACATTCCTGGTGTTGGTGCCACTCCAGTGCTGCCCCATGAACTTGCGCAGGCCGTTCGCATCGGTCGTTGACATGATGCCGCACTGGCGCAGGCCCTCGCGCCTCACAGGTGCAATTCAAGGACAGCTGCGCATCATTGGAATGTACTGCTAAAAAGCGCATCAGTGAAGTGCAGCAGTTCCTCGGACACGGAACTCAGAGTGGCTCTGAAAGATAGCGTGATCATGCTCTGCTGCAGGTGCTAGGGACTGCAAGATGACGAGCCCGTCGAACGGTTTAGAACTGCATAGCACTGCATAGAACTGGGCCACGTACATCCGCGTACCGAAGTCCGCCCATTCCGAGAAACTTACACCTGCAGAGTTCGCTGAGTCCGTCAGAGTCTGAAGAGGAGTTCCACAAAGGGTGCCTCCAAGCGTCTGTGCCTTCCGAATTCCGGATTCCACATGTCACTGTCCAGGGCCTAAACCTTTAGCCGAAAGGGAAAAAACCGCCTTGCGCCGCATCGCGTCGGCGGCCTGCCGAGATTTGCACCAGGTGTAAGTGACACTGGCGCATCGCGCGTCTTCAGTCAGGACTGCATGTGTTTTGCTCACCTGGTTCAAGTCCACCAGCGCGGCTGGCGGGCAGGCTCGGCTGTCGCACGAGCACATCGAGTGCTTGCTGCCGACTCGACTCACCGACATCCAGTCCTGGCAGGGTGCCAAGGTGCCACTAAACCATTGCGAAGGAGCAATGAGCGCATGCAAGAACAGCAGCACCTCGACAGGCATTGCAAACTCCGAGACACGGACCACCTGCACACGCACGCACACACACACACACACACACACACACACACACTTTGGCTCGGCACGTACTGATGCGAAGGAAGACAGACAGGACCCGACAAGACGACGACAGATTGCAGTAACCGTGCAGTTCCACTGGAAGCCAAATTTAGAAACAACAGCGTCGGTTGGTGTAATTTTGGGCTGGCCTTTGCGCAGGTACACAAGGGTGATCAGCCCCTGCTTCCCATCAGATTCCGTAGCTTTGTTAGGCACGGCCCGAAATCTGATGCCGTGTCCCCCTGCCTGAAAAAACTCGTTGGCAAGTCTGACTGAGCCGCGGAAGTCTGTTAATTTGCTACAGTGTAACTAACGCCATTTCTCGTAAGTTCTGCAGTGTTTGGCAGGTTGGGCGCCTGCGTCTCGTACTTTGCCGATTTGCAGAGCTGCCACAGGAACAGTGGAGCACCCGGCTTCAGAACATTGTCTGCCTCGCACAGTGAGCAGCAGCAGTCACCAGCAAAACAGCAGCCTGCACAAAAGCAGTTTGTCCAAGGCTCGGACAACAATGATCGCCTCAGGAATAAGTTAAAAAGCAAAAAGTCTCCGCATGATAGCCTCAGAGAAACCCGACTCCTGTCGAGGCACTCCAGGCCGGACGAGAGCAAGTCTCTCCAACATGGCGAGGTCCTCCTGCATGCCGTCCGAGTCTGAAGAGTTTTTCTAAAATTTTCAGGACATGACTCTCGGGTGCTAAACCATACGCCTGGTAGCGGGAGCCCCGCTGATCCATGAAAACCAAACCGAAGCCACAATGAGCCTTGCAACATCAACAGGGGCTTGTTGCCGTCATGCATTACCGACGCAAAACCGAGACGTGGACTCCTCCGTACTTGCCTCAATTATCAATCTACCCCGCCGCTCGCCGACAACGACAGTGCAGCAGCTAAACTGCAGGTTGGGCGGACGGCCAGGCCTTGCATGTAGGGGAGCAGTTCGCGGCTATGCCCTGTCCAGACCTCGCAGTCTTTGAGGGTCCAGAACAGGAAGGCTTTCGGGGCTGCGGGGCTGTCGGGGCTTTCGGGCTGCGGCGTGGACCCGAGATGACAAGCCCGCAAAGGCGATCACCGTTCGAGCGATCACTGCCTCCACCAACCAGGCAGGGCCAAAGAGGCGAGGCAACGTTGCACAACGTTGCTCAACACTGCGTCTGCGTCCCGTGTCTGAGCTGAAGACGTGGACAGGATCTGCCTCCAACGTCCTCAAGAAACTTCTGCAAAGTTGCCATTCTGGAGATTATTGCTTGAGGGACACATGCTCAGCTTCCCGCACTACTCGGATGTTGGGACTTGCCGTGGCAATGCGAATGGAGGAGCCGCCACAATACGTGCCGATTTCCAGCCTGACTTACTCGGCGGCAGGTAACCAATTTGCTGTCCAATTTGCAAGTACGGCGAAGTCTGCAGTGTGACAGTTTGCCAAGTGTCTGACACCAGAGAACTCCTTGCATGCTGAGCAGCCGCCCAAAGAACCTTGCACGCAAGCTGCCTGCGTCAGAAGATACCAAGTGTCTGGCACCTCAGACTTTTCTCCTCCAGCAACCTTCAGCCACGTCTTGGAGCTGCCTGGCGAACTGCCGCTTGATCTAGTAACGTCGCAACTAGGTTGCAGTATTCATTCAAGCCTTGTTTTCAGCATGTGGCCGCAGTTAGTAAGCTGCAGTCGGTACAGCTTAGGCAGTTGCTGATTTGTACAAAGTCTCGCAACCACCTCCAGCGACAAGCCCTGGCATTGGGACTCTTCAACGACATCCCAAAAATGTGAAAGGAAAGCTCACGTCCGAGACATCTCGAGCGTGCTGCCTAACCAGCACTGATCAATTTATCATGTTTTGTCAAGGATGCATTCAAGCCATCTGGCCAATGATCATGGCCAGCTTTGTGCCTCATGGCCTCGATTGTAGGGAAAGATTGTCTCTTTTGTCAGACAAAAGGGCCAGCCAGCCAGCATGCAGAGGATACTTGCGCCGTGCCTCGGCCTCCTCGCGGTCCCGGAACTGTGGCCAACTGAATGCCAACAAGGTCAAAGACTGAAGGCAGATTAGTGTCGCCAGAAAGCGACAAGGAAGCCAGTCCTGGGACAAAAATGGAAGGGTCTCATTAGTGCGACATGTTGCGCAGCAGTGATTTGCATGTCGCAGTCTGGCCTTGAATACCAACTCGAGGATCATCCAGGTGTAGTTGGAAAGCGTCCTACACTTCCAGAGCCAGCAGGACCCAAGCGCTGACATGTCGGCTCAAGGTCTCGTGCTGCTAGAGGGCCAAAGCATCCAGACCACATCGGTTCGATCCATGTGGTCCGTCATTCGGCTGCAATCGTCGACTGTGCTGGCAAAGATCATTAGGAAGGTAACCTCATTTTCAGAATGACTCAAATTGCCCTGTGGTGTTCTTCAATGGTTCAGCACTACTCAGTTCGGAGCCGCGCTGGTCACAGTAGCCGACCACAGGTACCCCGAGGCCCAAAATCCGTCAGTGGAGGACCTTGACAAACATCTAGTTGCAGAGCAACGGTTTCTGACACTTCGCTGAAAGGGTGATTTCAGCAAAATTCCAGTTGAACACTCTTTTTCTTGGCAAAGCGTCTGCGCCTTACATGGCCATGACTGGGCCATGACGGGTTCATTCGCGGAACAATCTGTTTCCCTTGCGGCTTGATCACCGATGGATGCGATGCATCAAACCTAACCAGCCCAATCCTGACTGGAAAGTTTCCGCATCACATGCCAAGCATGGTGAGGGTACCTACGACGCCTGATAAGCCAGTACTGAGTCCAAGGACGTCCATCCTGACACAGCACCAACCTGCCGCTTCTCGTTCTGGCTCTTGTCGTGATATTTCCCAAGCTCGCACAATGTAGCTCAAGGAAAGGGGAGCGAGACACGCTGTTTTAGGACAACTGCCGGCTCGTACCGATGCATGATGATGTGTCCCTCGCAAAAGCTGCGAAGCTGGGCTAGACTCCTAGACACAAGCATGTTTCTTTTTGGTGGGTGTTCGGGGCGGCTGACATTTGCATCCAAGGTGCCACATGGCAATGTACCCGGCGTGGCAAATCAGTTCTTGCACGCTTGACTTTGAGCATGCTGACTTTGACTGGTCCATTCCTGTAGCTCTCCAAAGCACCTGACAGGAACGCAACCGTGCAATCGATTTGTTCGTTCTTGTTCGGAGACACCTCGAAGCAACAAGCAGAACACAGGATGCTGTCAACACTTTCAGGGCCGGAGTCAGCAAACAAAGCCAAGAACAGCACGGCCACGGTCAGCAAAAAGCCCGGACACAAGTCACACAAACCACAGAAACGGTCAGATGATGAAGCGGAATCGCCACATTCGGGGGCGTGTTTGAGATATATGATGATCCGAAATCGCCAAATGAGGGAGGCGTGTTGAAGGTATGTGATGAACCGGAATCGCCAAATGAGCGGGCACGAGGGGGCGTATTCAGGATATACGATGAACCATGATGAACCGGAACCGCCAAATGAGGGGGCGTGTTTAAGATATACGATGAATCAGAATCGCCAAATCCACAGGCCTACTTCGGATATGTGATGAAGCGGCGCTGAGCCTGTTTGAATATATCGCTTTCGAGGCACGGAATCCTGGTCGTATGCAGCCTATGATGCAACTAATTGAAGAGTCAAACGGTGAACGAAAGTGCCAACCTCGGCGAAGTTGGTAAGCGCTGTATTATCTAGCCTCTCTATTTGGACACTGGCAAGTTGGCGAACGACCTCAAGCCCAGGCGAGGCGGAGGAAGGCCGGGCAACCAGAAGTCCAAAGCAGAAGCACCCCCCGAACAACATCAGCAAAAAGCCTCAGATAATGTAGTTTGTATATATATATATATACATAATGTGTATATATTCGACATACAAGGGAGTGTGTTTAATGTATCTGATCAACCGGAATTGCCACACGAAGCGGCGTGTTTAGGATATATGATGAATCCGAATCGCCATGTGAGGGGGGCGCGTTTAGAATACATGATAAACACGAACTTCAACTTGCTTCTCTATGGGTTTATGTTGATGGCGGTTTAATGTCACTTGTTTATCGCCAAATGGGGGGGCGTGTGTAAGATATTAATGAAGCGGAATTGCCAACTGAGGAGGCATGTTTAACATATATGACGAACTGGAATGGCCACGTTCGCGGGCACGTTTAAAATACATGACGATCCGAAGTCGCCAAATGAGGGGGGCGTGCTTAAGATATATGATGAATTGCAATCGCCAAAGGCGGGGGCAAGGGGGCGTGCTTAAGATATATGATGAATCGGAATCGCCAAATATCGCCAAATGAGAGGGCATGTTTCGGATATATAATGAACCGGACTCGCCATATAGGGGAGTGTGTTTAATGTATCTGATGAAGCAGAATCGCCACACGAAGGGGCGTGTTGAAGATATGATGAATCCGAATCGCCAAATGAGGGGGCGTATTAAAAGTACATGATGAACCAGAGTTTCAATTTGGTTTCTATGGGTTCGTGTTATTTGTTTTTCAATTTCACTTGGCGCCGGCTTATTTCTGATCCTTGCCGCTGTTTTTGACTGCTGGCGGCGTTGCTTCTGACTCGAGGCCTCCCTGTTTCTGACAGGTGGCCGTCGGTATTCTGACTCCCTTTGCTGAATGTTGCGGCGATGTGCTGAATCCAGCTACTCTGCTGTCAAGCGCATCTGAATAAACATGCTCAGTGATCACTGGTAAGGCATCGCAGACATGCTACACCTGCACCACGGTGAGCACGTCGTGACATCTGGATAATTGAAGCCGTCCGTGCGTGCTAGACAGACCTGATGTCAAACGGCCCACCGCTGGCACATGGGTCAGGCCCTAACACGGCTGGTGTCAACCTTGACACTGGCGCCAGGTCCGGCTATTTTCAATACAAGTGTATTTTACATAAATATGTAGATATACACATGCATAATGCTTGCTCTGCTCTGTTCTGATGTTCTGTGCCTGCTTCGCTCTACTCTGCTCTGCTACTACGTGCTATGCAGCCCTATGCCATGCTATGCTACACTGTAATCCAGACTACTCTACACTTCGCTGGACTGCGCTGTACTGCTCTACTCCACTCTGCTCAGCTCTCCTCTCCTCTCCCATATCAAACCATACCATGCCTTACCTGAACCCTAAACCCAAAAGCCCAAAGCCCTAAAGCCAAAAGCCCGAACCCAAGGACCCAAACACCGAAACCGTACACCCAAGAACCCCAAGCCCTTAACCCTAAAACCCTGAGCCCTAAACCTAAGAACCACATGCCCTAAACTAAACCCAAGCCCAACAACCTTAAGGCCCACCCTAAACCCAAAAACCCTAAGCATTACTGCGCTCTGAACCCTAAACCCAATAACCCAAAGCTCTCAACCAATAAACTTTTAGCACCCAACGACCTAAACCGTGCAGTCAAGAACCCTGAGCCCTAAACACAAGAACCCTAAGCCCCAAACCCAAGAACCCTGAGCCCTAAACCGAAGAATCCTGGGCCCTAAACCCGTAAACTTTACCTAAACCCTAAACCCAAATACCACAAGCACTACTGCGCCCTGAACCCTCTCTCTCTCAGTCGCGCAGAGCAAGTCCACAAGTGAGACTACTCGTCAGCAGCCCTTTCAGCTGTTTAACGCAAAACTTCTAACTGAGCCCAGGATCTACGGTTTTGAGCTAACGGCTGTAGGGTCCTCCAAAGGTCAGTATTACCAAAAAATCTGGAATGGGCAGCAGCCACCTCTCTTTCTGTAGGATGGTGATAGATATCATGGTGTATTTGGTAGGGGCGGGGAATAGGGGAGTTCGAGGAGAGTATTTGGTAGCGTTGGTACGCTTGTGTCATGGTCAATTCGGCCCAATGTATACGAGGGTGGCCAGGTCTTTTCCTATGGAGGCGTCTGTAGGCATGTGCTGTTTGGTAGGTGGAGATATGTTCAATTGAGTCTTCGTGTCTGAGGATATGCCCGAGATAAGAGATCCGGGATGATATGATATTCTGCGACGGGGAAAGGAGTTTGGGGGCGTACTCGTAGGCAAGTTGGGATAGATATTCGTTGGAGCATTCTGCCTCCGATGGTTCCAAGACTTTATGATAAAAGGAACTTTTGATGTTGAAGATCTGTCTAAGGACCTTGTAGTGTAGCTTGTTCAGTTTAGTGAGGTCAGGTTGCAAATACATCTGTGATTCCGAGCCATACAGAAGGATGGCCAACACGATCTGGGAATGAACTAGCAGCTTTCGCTTAATGGTTATGGAGGGGTGCCTAAAGAAATCATGTAGACATTTGGCCGCGTGCGAGGCCTGCGCGTATCGCTTTTTGGCGTCCGCTTTGGCGGCTGAATTATGAGTGAGGACAGCTCCTAAGTAATCGGCGTGGGGTTTAGGATCAATGCGGAGTTCTTGGGGTAGTTGTGGGTTGCTTCTCATACAACAGAAGTCACATCGGCATGGGTGGGTTGTGGTATCCGTTAGATATACGGGCAGATCAGTGTTGATGCAGAGAAGCTGGCACTTCTCATGATTCAGGGACATGCCTCTTTTGTAAGAGTGGGACTGC